TTAATATATATATTTAACTACAAGGACAGTTTAGGGAACAAGTTACCACATTTCACTTTAGTGTACCTATTTACAGAAAGATTAAACTGCCACCTGCAGGCACATTCCCATAAATGTGTACTTTAAAAAGAACATGCCAAGATTTTGTCTTTCTGTGGACTCAACATTCACTTTGATTAAAAATAGCAATTTGACCAAGTTGGACTTCTACTACAAAGCAGCTGTTTTCCAAAGTTCAATGCTGACATATATGTTAAAATAATTGCCTATTTATTCATCTACAAATAGACAACGTTGGCATGTTCTTTTCTGTTTGTCTATTAATGGGCCTGCTTCTTAGCAATATTAGAATGTTTTATAAAAGCAATTCATGTTACTTTTCTGGTCTTTTCATGGCATATGAGCAAATAAACTATTTACACTACTATTCTGTAATATGTCATAATCTTTCAATGGTACAATTTAGGAGGCTTTAGCAATATTATGTAGACTTACCTTCTAGAAACACATATATCTATCTTGCTATTTGAACTCAGAATCCAAATATACTTGGTAAACTTCAGGAAGGATTCCTCCCTATGTGAAATCTTGACCACTTGCTATATAAAACATAGAAAATGGATCTTGGAAATGAAACTACATCTCCAAAATTGTATTATTTATAAACATACAGCTTCTGGGGAAACAGCACCTTTGTTTGGTGAAATGCCACAACCCCCCAGCAATCCCACCAAATGTTTGTTTCAATTAATTAGGATGTTGTACAAATAAAGATAATAGGCTATATATGAACTGCATAGTTAACACTGCACCCAACAACCATACCAGTTGGCAAGGTTCACAGCAGTTTGGCCCCCATTGCACAAATGGACTGACAGTTGTAAGAAAACTCCCAGTCATCAAAAGTTTATGTGTAACATTTCATGTTCTTTTTATGGAAACAAGGAAAATTTTAAATTTTAGAATACCTTTCAAGTGGCTTAAATTTATAGACATATAAATTATAGTCATTTAAGGAAGTATTATAATTTATATAATTAGTGTCACAACCACCACAGCATACTTTGCATTTGTCACACATAGCTGCTTACAGATTAAAGGCAATAATCTTTATTCCTCACAAGAAGCCTGTGAGATATTTAACACTGTTGTACACATTGGGAAACTGACTTGCCCAGGGTGCAATCTAATAATTGCCTATAATAAAGCCTTAAGTCTTTTGTTCCCAATTCAGTGCACCTTCCACTAAACCAGTTATGAAATGTGTTAAAAGCTTTATTTTATGAAAGACAAAAAATTAAGTTCTGCAATCAGTAAGGATCTCGTTTGTTTTACTATCAGACTGGTGCCTAATGGTAAAAGAAAAATCTTTTAATATTCCACAAATTCAGAATGTTTTCAAACTCAACTACAGCAGTAAGTTCAAATGAGGCAGAGAAAGTAACATTCATCTTTTAAAAGGTATTTACCAATGACTTTGAATTAAATACTCACGTTCCCCACTCCCTATCATGTAACACTAAAATTCACTGCAATGCCCAGCGACCATCCTGACTCAACTCTGCTCTCAATAGAATGGGGCTTGATATCCATCACTGACTCTGCTTTGGTTCAACATACTGGAATCATCTCTGTAGAATGAGGTGATCTTACACTGGAAAACAGATACACTTCTTATACTAGCTCCATAATCCACATTTTGTTGTTTGTTAGACAAGGTCTAGCTCTATCACCCAGGATGGAATGCAGTGGTGCAATCCTGGCTCAGGGTAACCTCTGCCTCTCAGGCTCAAGCCATCCTCGCACTTCAGCCTCCCGAGTAGCTGGGACTATAGACACGCACAACCACACCTGGCTAATTTTTGTAGAAACAGGGTTTTGCCATGTTGCCCAGCCTGGTTTCAAACTTCTGAGCTCAAGTGATCTGCCTGCCTCGTCCTCCCCAAGTGTTGGGATTACAGGCACAAGCTGTTGCGCCCAGCCACACATACCTATTTTAATGTTTGATAAAACTCCTCTTAGTCCTAATGTATTTCCTAATTTTTATCAGAAATGTCTCCAAAGATGAATTTATCAGATTTTGTCAAAAGGATGTTTTCCATTTCTTTTTAAACTAATAGCCCATCTATGCCCAAGAAACAAACATGTACGTGAAAGAAGTGATGGTTTTTTTTTTTTTTTTTTTAAGTCTTTTTATCAAGAAAAAGAGGAATTACACTGAGAAAATATAACGTGGGCCTCTAGCAACTCTCACAGCATAAAGCTTGCTGCCTGAGTGGTGCTTAAAGGAAAAAAACTGACACAAATCCAATTTAGTAAAAGATGCCACTTTTTCTAATAAATTATATTTATTTACAAAAGGTCTAATTTTATATAACTATGAGGTTCTTTTACATCAGAATAATATATAAACAGAGGTGAAAATCTGGTAATTACAAACACAGAAAATAGAAACCTTGTTCCCTTATTACTCACCTTTCAGAACAAGTCCTTGGCTCAGTTGTAGAGGTGGGGAAGACCAACACCTACCGAAGTTTGCAGGCAGGAGCCCCCAAAAATATTTATAAATAACACATTTAGATACCCTAAGGAACAGTAGTGAAGAATAGCATCAAGGAATGGCTTAGTTTGAAACTGATCTAATTCGCCAGCCACTCAATGTTTTCATTGGCCATGACTAGGGGCAGGGAGGATTAGCCAGTATGAATGTCAACTTTACAAGTAGGGTAATTACCATCAAATTAACAATTACCAATCACTAACACTGAGATGGCCTTGAACTAGATCCTACTGAGAATCACAGAACAGTTTTGATAGTCTTTATATGGCAAGTTTAAAAAGCAGAGAAGCTATTATACCTAAGTTTCTTAAAATGGAGGGTTAGGGAGAATGTGTGGGTAATTAGAGCAAAATCATCTCTCACTTTCCACCTCACCTTAAAGACAGCTCCAAAAAACTGAGCGCCTGACATGTCACCATATTTCAGCCCTATTCAAAAATAGCCCAAAATGATTATTTTCAACTTTAAATTGTATGTTCTCACAAGTTTTGGACATGTCTGAAGTAAAAGCTAAGGTATAGTCACAGGACCTTATTTTAGGTGCACTTCAATTATGACTGTGACTTTAGTGGTGGGTTAGTATGGTTTATTGCAATGATGCTTTTATAAGCCCTTTAATACAGATGATGGGTACCATGGATGCCAGATGAATACATATTTCAACTAGTATTTTACATTCATTCTCAAAGTGCCTATTATGTGCTAGGCACTGTCCTATTCCACAAGGATATATAACAGTAAGTGAACCAGACAAATCCCTGCCACCGAGGAACTTACATGACCACCAGTTAAGTCGAAACGATTGGAAGAGTAATGTAAGAATAAAGATGGTAAGAATCAGCAGACTGGTATACGCCATTACCAAAAGCACAGAATGAAATTATAAGCCTATTAGAACACAGTTCCATGAAAGTAAAGACATTATTTTGCTTTCATGTAAAATGAGTGTAACTTTACGTAGAGAATGTAGAATGGTTGAATTAAAATCTACCTAACACTGAGAGAAATATATACCCAAGGGAAAATAAAAAGTCTCAGATTTAAGATAGAAGGAATTAATGTACTTTGCTTCATTTTGTTTAGAAACCGTTTTAAAAGCTGAAGTTTTTTAGTTTTATAATTTATATTTAAGTTACATAATATACTTAAATATCCCTTTTTTAAGCAAGCATTCATCACTCCTCCCTGGGTACTATTGTGATTACAAATAGTTTTCTCTTACATAGCATCTAAGCTTAAAAAAAAAAAAAAAAAAAAAAAAACCAATCTTCATATAAAGGGGTTACTCCCCTCTGGATGCAAAAATGAGTGGCTGCATAGCCAGGACTCAGCTGACTGTAAGACCAGAAGAAAACCGGGAACATTTAGACAAATGTTTTTTAAAGCATATAATCAAATTACATAATTGAATGAAAACTGAATTACACAGTTTGAAACTGAAAACTTTCCAGAAAAATGCACAGAGATTTTTTTTTTTTTAGGAGTTTTTACAGTTTCTTCATCCTATCATTAACTGATTCCCTTACTTTAGGACAATCCTTTTTCATATTATAGTTGTACGAAATGAGGCCCAGTTAAGCAAAAGTCAAAAGGTGACAAAGCTGTGACAAATCATTATCAAATTTACTGGGAGGCATAAAATGCACTTTTAAAGTTGGAAAACATCAATAATTTATATGCTGAAGCTACTCTGGCTAATGATAATAAAATGCCAGCTACTATGCTGAAAAAAATGTGGTGGGACCACTGCTTTTATTTAAAAGCATTACATTGTTTTAATTCAGTTAGGAAGAGTGTATACTTAATACTTGATTAGCTAAATTATCTAACTTTTCATACAAATTCAATTTTCCCACAAAGAAATATGAACTGGGAGAAAAAAATATTTAAATTCTGGATATTGAGTAAGTATGATATTAAATGTATACGTGAATTTGATCTAATAGTTCATTAGTATTAATGACACTGAGGGAAGATAAACCCTCAACATTTTCCTAAGAATCTGAGGCTTTAATGAAAAGTATAAATTCCCCTTATCTGAAAATAAACACACTTTCCTGTTTTAACATATTTAACTCTAATAGAACCAATATTCCAAGACGTTTCAGTTTTTACCAAACTGAAGATTTAAAAACTTAACCTATTAGTTTAAAAATATTCACAGAGAACAAAATCTTATCACCTGTACCTTCAGACTGTCAAGTATCTTTCTGGCAACTAAATCCCATTTGATGGGATCCTGAAAGGGAGACAAAGGATCACAGTCACTTAAATTACATCTTTTATGGCAAGGATGTTGCATTTTGAATTGCAATTTGTTTACTACTATGGTTGTTTTTAAGTCAAATAATTTTCATGGGTGAACTACAGGGAAACTTTATATTGTGTTGTAGGGATTTGCGGTTATAGTAAGATTATCTCTGTAAGAAATACAGGAATCTATTTTGAGGACATGCTAAAACACATCAATAGCTTTTTATTTAAATAGAAAAATCAAAACTTTAAAGCTGTACTTTAGAAATCATTCATGGATGTAATTAAAACAATGTTTTTTACATATTCTAAAATTCTTTTGTGAAACATCACTAGTATATATTTGCCAATATCAAATGCATACTTTAAAGATTTGCCACTGACTTCCATGTCAAGTGATTGACATGATTAGCAGTATTAACTCACTACAATGGGACCTCTGAAAATTGAGTCTAGACAATTCCCTGTTGCCAAAGTTGTTATGTGTTTTGGCTCTAATATACAAATAGGAGATTAATCTCAAGCAAGCAGTTTGATTACTTCATATTTTCTCCAAGATGAGTCTTCCTACAAAGCCTGGTCATATTTCATAGCAGAAAAATGACTTGGGAGACAAAATGAGAAACAATCCCCTCTCCCACCCCTTCAGCCTTTAAAAAGTAGACATTATATTTAATTCAAACGGAGGCAAAATGGGAAAGACACATTCTGGTCAAATCCACTTTCAAAACTCACTAGGATAGTTAAGAAAAAAAACTTTTTGTTCTTCTAAATCCCAACTTGAAATAGAATCTCTTCAAGTGTACACATTAAAAGAATAACACAGATAATACCAAAGAATAGGTGCTAAAATTTACTTATTTACTTAAAAAATCTCCTGCACTGAAGGAAAATAGTATAAATTACATTACCAACCTTCAGAAGTTAGCATGTAGAGTATTCTGTCTTCAAACCATTGCCTCTCTAAAATAGTCTGTAAAAAATTCATAGGTGAAAAACAAATCTAGGGACCTCAAATGCACTGATTTATAATATTCTTAAATATTAAAAAAGGAAAGTAAACTAGCTGTGTGGGTAAGATGAAGCAAAATTTCAGGGATTTAGTACCTTTAAAATGATCATACAATTTCTTTAGAGCTGAGCAGTTTAAGTAGAAATAAATACTAGTACACACTAGAAGAGAAGGTTTAATAATTGATAAAAATATACAAAAATATTCAAATCAGAAATGCTTTAGAATGTGTACCACGAAGTCAATACTTCTCAGTGAGTAGGGAAGGCAAAATACTTCCTCAATAGCGGGGGAAAAAAAGCAAGAGAAAGACTGAATTTAGAAAAAAAAGACAACTGTTAAAGAAAATGTTTAAGTCAACTGTTTTTTTTTCTTTTTTTTAGACAAGGATATTGCAACTATCACTTAAAGTCTGGTGGCACATTCTTTAGTAGGTCCTTAAGGCAATATATTTAAATTAATTTACAATTTGATGTTAAAGTTTTTTTTAAACATCACCTCAAAATAGATGCTCAAAATAATGCCCTCACAATAGCCTTTGTAAAATGTATTCAGATGTTTGATAAAAAATAATGGTGGCTTTATATTACAGTAGTGCTCATTAGCACCACTATAATTAAGGGTCTACCAAGTTTCCAGCAAAACCACCTATTTCTTAGGAGTTTCACCATAAAAGATCACATTGGCTGTAACCAGTTGGGTAGTGCACAAAAAAGCAGTTTTATCAGTTGCTGGTGCTTTTTTTGTACTACTATATTATCAAAAAATTTTTCATTATATCTTCAAAATCCAGCTTCTATAAAGTAAATCAAATCACCTCATGACTTAGATTTTAGAACAAAGTAGAGACATCTGCAGTTATCAGTAAATTGCCACCTTTAATCCATCCTACAGTGCCCTGTGAAAGGGTCACAGAAAGACAGTTATGACTGTATGAAAATATGATTCTTGATACAGAATCAAAAGTTATTTTCAATTTCCTTTGCTTTTATAAAGTCCACGATAACAATACTTAAATGCACTTTTTTTTTTTCCTGTGATATAATTAAAACCCAGTGTTACTTCAGTTGAACTTGAAATAGAGTCCCTGGTCTGAATCAGACTTTAAATCATACTGTAAACATATATTTGGTATAATTTATTGATCATCATCCAGTTGCTCCAAAAGGGTTCTTCTGCGCTTTTCCAATTCCCCTTCACTCAGTTCACTGCCAGAAGTATCCCAATTACCCTGAAAAGACATTGATTACAATTATAGTTGACATCAGTACTCAGAGGTTTAAGGGCTGAGCCTGTGAAAAAAGAATCCAGTATCTATATAAATTCTCTTCCAAAGAAACACATTTCACAGAGTATAAAGACTGTGTGAATATGAAACAATATTTCCATTTAATGGAAGCCAGGTATTCATTTCCTAGATAATACATTCCTTGCTAATTTTTTTTTTTGAGACCAAGTCTTGTTCTTGTTACTCAGGCTCATCTCAGCTCACTGCAACCTCTGCCTCACAGTTCAAGCAATTCTCCTGCCTCAGCCTCCGAGTAGCTGGGATTACAAGCGTCCGCCACCACGCTCAGCTAATTTTTGTATTTTTAGTAGAGACAGGGTTTCGCCATGTTGGCCAGGCTGGTCTCAACTCCTGACCTCGTGATCTGCCCACCTCGGCCTCCCAAAGTGCTAGGATTACAGGCATGAGCCACTGTGCCCGGCCTATTCCTTGCTAATTTTGTAGCTTCCCCCTGGTTCCAGAAGTATTATCACAGAAACAGAAGTAGTATGCTTTAAGCATATGAATTCCTGTGCCAAATAAATACACAAGACTTATGAACAGGACAAGATTTAGGCTGAACAAACAAAAATAATACTGCACTATATGTGAGACACAACCTTTGAAAAGTGGATAGTTCACATATCGTCCTCTTTCACTCCAGGGATTTCATTTAACCCACCATATAAGCTGCTAAAAAGTAGCATTCACTCTTCACTTACGATGTGACTCAGACTCACCTGTTTCAGCTCTAAAAAAAACCCACCCTATACCAACGAATCAGAATATCCAGAGATCCCTAATAGGGTTTTATCTACACAGTTTATGCTCTCCAGTGATGATTCATAGGCATTTGCCCTTGCTAAACCCACAGAATTTGCATTATTAGGCTCTGTCATTCATATATACATATTTTTGAAAACGACTAATTATGTAATCTGTTATTGAAATAATTAACTTTGGCTTATATTCTCCTCTCCTATTTTTTTTTTGCCCTTTCTCCACCCCAAATCAGTATTTCTAAAAGTTACTGAATTGCTACTTTTTGAAACAAAGGATTTAATGACAGTGACAACTGCGGACATCTGTAGAACCCCAGATTTAGTCTCTCACTTAAAAAAAAATTTGAGAATTAGGTAAAACATGTACAGTGGCACTTCTTAGTGACCATATCCTTTCTTAGTGAGTTAAGGCTACAGTTATGAAATGCTGTATTTTAAAAATGTCAAATTTAGGAGAATCAAATCTAGGATCATTCATGACCAAAAACTATCACATTGTGTGAAATGTAGTTAACTAAATTTTCACTGTTTTCTTCAATTGTAGCACACTTGGAAAAGTCTATTCTTTCAACACCACCATGGTTTAACCAAAGAATCCATTTTTGCATTTTGAAAATACAGGTAGGAAACAATTCTAAATACTTACAGAATCCTTTCCAGTCTTTTTCTTAGGCGATTTGTGTTTTGATTCTGATCTTTGTCTAGTTCTGTCTTTTTCACTTTCCCGATCTTTTTCTTTTTTATCCTTCTCTCGCTCAGCATCGGATTCTGGAGAGTCCTGAATGAATAGAAAATAACAGGTTAGCATTTTGATGAAGATACCATTCTTATATAGGTAATTATTATATAAGTAATACTTAAGAACATCTACGTGTAACAGATTATGTGTTCTTAGAGCGAATGTGAATTGTTAACCTCAAGGATTAAGTAAAATTTACCCAAGATCCATGGGGGACAGCTTTCCCTTGGGAAGGATAATATTCTAACAGGATAAAATACCACTCATGAGACTTACTACCACATCAGATGTGTAATATCTATTATGTAAATACAGAGACATATTACATTTTTCACCAACTCAGTATAATACTGGTTTATACATGTACCTAGGATACTGCTGTTAGCTTTAACACATAAGGCAGACAGCTGTATTCATAAAATTTTCTTGAAATTGCTGAGTAGGAATTATTTAAAATTTAACGTCAGTGCTTAAATGAATGGCTCTTCATTAGATATACACAAATTCAAATAAAAAAATATGTAACTCAACAGGTTTGTGGTGATACCCACGCCTTCACATTTTGAAAAAGCTCCTTAGGTGGATCCTAATGTACACCTAAGATTAAGACCTACAAGTGTAGAGGAGTGGTTGTTTTAACATTTAAACTTGTGGTTCTCAACAACAGCTTCAATCTACATATACACACAAATATACATACATACACAGAGACACATGCACGCACAAGAGTCTCTTTTCTAGAAGATTAATTTTAAAGACCGGGATGGGGATCCTAACACTGGTGTGTGTATTTTTTCAAAGCTCACCAAATGATTTTAATGGAAGATCAAGGTTAAGAGCAACAACAATGTGCCCACCTGAACTGTCCTGGGCTGCAAAGAATTAGAAAAAGGTTCTATGATCTCTGAGGAAGTTAAGGGCAAACGCCTAGGTGAAATGTAAAAATTAGAAGCTTGCTTACAGATTTATGTCTCCTCTTCTTACTTTTCTTCTTATGCTTTTTCGACTTTTTGTAACTTCTCTCTGAGCAGCATAAAAGGAAAACAAAAGTGTCAGAATTTGAGTATATCAGTATAAATGATTTAATCAAATAAACAGAAATGCTCACCAGACTCTGCACTAGAAGAATGTTCTGAAGCAGAACGAGACTCTGATCGTTGTCTTTTTTTCTTTGAATGGCTATCATCATCATCTGAATCTGACCCCTAAAAAATACAAATAATTTCATTCATAATAATGCTAACACTTTAATACACTCATGGTGCCATAACTTTAATACACTCTTGGTACAATAAATTCCTTTACCGATCGAGAGCGGGAACGTTTCCTATGATGTTTTTTAGATTTCTTAGAATGTTTCTTGTTCTTTGAATGATGATGCTGACATTCATGCTATGGGGACAAAAAAAAATTTCAAGAATTTACACTTACTGTAGACAGACTGTAAAGAACTTTAAAAAGCCACGGAAGTAAGTTCTTAGAGTAAAACTCCACAATATATAGAAATGTAATTCCTTGAAACTGCAAAGAATTGTCACTTAAATTTTTTTTCTGTTCTTTCTTGCCCATCCTATACCCACTCATTTAGACATCTTAACAAAACAATGTTAAAAACTATTAGTAGAAAAAGTAGGTTTCTTTTGTTTTTGTTTTGAGACAAAGTCTCGCTCTATCACCCAGGCTGGAGTGCAGTGGTGCGATTTTGGCTCAATGCAACCTCTGCTTCCCAGGTTCAAGCAATTCTCCTGCCTCAGCCTCCCAAGTAGCTGGGACTACAGGCGCACACCACCACGCCTGGCTAATTTTTGTATTTTTGGTAGAGACAGGGTTTCACCATGTTGGCCAGGCTGGAATCGAACTCCTGACCTCAGGTGATCCACGCGCCTTGGCCTCTCAAAGTGCTGGGCTGGGATTACAGCAATGAGCCACTGCACCCAGCTGAAAAAGTTTATTTATTTATTTATTTATTTTTAAGACAGAGTCTCACTCTGTCGCCCAGGCTGGAGTGCAGTGGCACGCTCTCGGCTCACTGCAAGCTCTGCCTCCCGGATTCACGCCATTCTCCTGCCTCAGTCTCCCAAGTACCTGGGACTACAGGTGCCTGCCACCATGCCCGGCTACTTTTTTGTAATTTTAGTAGAGACGGGGTTTCACCGTGTTAGCCAGGATGGTCTCGATCTCCTGACCTCGTGATCCGCCTGCCTCAGCCTCCCAAAATGCTGGGATTACAGGCGTGAGCCACCACGCCTGGCCTGAAAAAGTAGTTTTTTTAGAAGAATGAGAATGGTGTGGTTTAGAAGAAAAGTGTAATATGCAGTCTGCTTTTAATGACAGTGAAATACAATGACATTCAGGCATGGTTTTTGTGATCAATTTGGCTTTGATCAGCAACTTCGGCCAAGCACTAAGATAAAAAACAACCTGAGAGCCATCCTTGAATTGAGATATATAAAGTTGATGTCAGAATAAATCCAAAATCTACTACCCCTTTTTCATTTCCCCCAAGGAGCCATTTCCTTCCTCCTCAAACAAGTCATCCTTAGACATCCATATGTTGTCTTTGTGTATTTCTACTCATTAAAACAATTATTAGGTTAGCAGTGCTGGGGGGTGCTACAGTACAAGCTCCTTGCCCCTAAACATTTCTATGGCTTTGAGAATAAATTCTACCTCAGTTACAGATGTGGAAATGGAAAATCTGGATCTCAGAATGGACTATTCTCCTTTTGATCTCACTGAATGCTAACCTACCTTTAATACCTCAAGCCTCAGATTATTAAGGCCCCAAAATCTGAATGTGTTCAGTCCTTCCCTATGGTACCATTTTTTACTCCATTTACCACCTAACTACTTTACCCCCAGTACAGATCACAAAAGAATCTGGAGATTCTTGAACTGGGGGAAAATAGGTAAGACACTACCTAGAGCAAAGCTTCTCAAAATTAAATGTATATTTTAATGCCTGGGAATCTGGTTAAAATGCAGAGTCAGATGCAGGATTTCTGCCCCATGGGGCCTAAGGTTCTGCATTCCTAAGAAGCTTTAGGTAATGTAGATGCTTCTGGTCTGTACTACATTTGGCACAGAAAAGATCTAGAGGCCCAGCATGGTTGCTCATGCCTATAATCACAGCACTTCAGGAGGTCAAGGCAGGAGACTTGCTTGAGGCCAGCCTGCCCAACATAGCAAGATCCCATCTTTACAAAAACAAAAACCAAAAAACTCCACAAAAAGCCAAGCGTGATGGCACATGACTGCAGTTCCAGCTACTCAGGAGGATCATTTGAACCCAACAGTTCAAGGTTGCAGTGAGCCATAACTGCACTGCTGCACTCTGGCCTAGGAGTGGATGACAGAGAGAGACTCTGCTTTAAAAAAAAAAAAGAATTAAAAAAAAGGCCAACAGGACCACATCTAGAGGCAGCTGTGAAACAATATAGGGCCTATGTGAATACATGTTACACAAAAACGGTGGTTAACATTTTATTAACCAAGAACAATAAATCAAGAAATAGGAAATCAAGGAATAGGAAACAGTCAATTTAGTGTCCTGCTATGCCCATTTACAATGCAACACTGTAATATTAAACACATACTAGTTTTTAGCTTATGAAGTATTAGCTACTCTAAAACCGACAGCATGGCATACTTGTTAAAAGCGCTGACCGAGGTCAACATGCCTGGCTTCCAACCCTGTAACTCACTTTACTTCTCTTTGCCTCAGTTTGTTCACCTATTAACTTCATAGGCTTATTGAAAGGATTAAGTTCCTAAATACAATATACATAAAGCAATCAGAACACTGGCCCACTATTATTCAGTAATTATTGGTCAATTCAGCATACTTACAAGGGCCTAACTGAAACTGTCATCAAAATACTCTTACTTAACTTTTTTTTTTTGAGAAGGAGTCCCACTCTGTTGCCCAGGCTGGAGTACAGTGGCATGATCTTGGCTCACTACAACCTCCACCTCCTGGGTTCAAGCAATTCTCTTGCCTCAGCCTCCTGAGTGGCTGGGCGCCATCACTCCCTGCTAATTTCTTTGTATTTTTAGTACAGACAGGGTTTTGCCATGTTGCCCAGCTGGTCTCAAACTCCTGACCTCTGGTGATCAGCATGCACCTCAGCCTCCCAAAGTGCTGGGATTACACACGTGAGCCACCGTGCCCAGTGAACCTTACCTATTAAAGTGACCTGAGATGTTAATGTTTCATTGTTTATTTCAACAAAATCTTACCATTTATTCCAGAAATTCTCTGGGTTTTCCACACAGCTAATGTGGTATAATACCTCAAATGTGCCTAAAAGCTGTTTTCTATCTGCTTTACAAGAAAAATTTTTCAGTTTTAAGTTTACTAGTCAATCCATGTGGCTGCCAAACTGCTCAATTTCTAAAAGTTTCTAAAAATACAAAACAGTTTTCACATACAAATCTTTATATTCCTATGGAAACTTATAATTTCTTTCACTTAAAAGCAGTTTTTATAGGAAAAATACCATTCTCTAACTGTCCCAGGTAAGTACATTTGTATGAAAGCAGTGAACATTAAGTAAAATACTTCCATCATTCTAAGTTCTTCAGTTTGTTTACATTTTTATATATTTTATATATGAGAATTCTAAAATTACCTCAAGCACATGCATAAAATCTTTAAATATTCGTTTTCTTTCAGATTCTAGAGTTATGTCCTCAAATGCTGGCTCTTTTACAAATCTCTCACGGATCTGAAAAATTCAGATATAAAATAAATATATGAATACCAAGAAAGTACACCAATACATCTAAAATAAATCATAACAGCAAGTAAAAACTGTGATGAACCAGTCCCTTTAAAGTCCATTATTTCCTCCCTTCAAAAGTCCAAACTATTCTTTACAAATATTCCTAAACACAGACTCACAGCTGATTTAATGCTTTTATTATATTCTAAATATATTTAATATATTCTACAAATAAATTTAGCTTTTGTGGCTATAAAATGAAAAATAAAAATATTTTAAATTTCTTTCTCAACTGTAAAGAAAATAATTCCATTAGAAAAAATTAACAAGTATACATACATCTTCCCAGACAGCATCCAATTCTATCGGGGGAGCAGCTTGTTTTAACATACTCTTAAATGCAGACTCTTTTCGTTTCATCTTCCGAGCCTCTTCTTTTTCTCTTTCGCGTTCACGGGCTTCTGCCTTTTCTAGTAACTATTAGAAAATCATACTTAATCAGTTATAATAGTATCATAACTATTAGCTGAAATAATTTATTGTTAATTTAGGAATCACACATTGTTTAAAATAAGCTTGTCCAACCTGTGGCTCATGGGCCACATGTGGCCCAGGACAGCTTTGAATGTGGCCCAGCACAAATTTGTAAACTTTCTTAAAACATTACAAGGTTTTTGCTCATCAGCTGTTGTTAGTGTCGGTGTATTTCATGTGTGGCCCAAGGCCTGGTTTATAACGGCCATATTATGTATAATAATAACAGTTAATTTGAGCAAAGGAAGTTTAATGTCAATCCATCATCTAAATAAAATTTTTTCTTTTACCTTACCTGAAAGACTGGCTACTACTCTGTAAAATTCTATTCATATTCCGTTTCCAATGCGTTGCAACTTAGCTGCTTTTATCTGAATAAATTAAAAACTATACTATTAAATTAGTTATTTACAAGAGAAAAAATAACTTACACTATTGAAAGCCAATTTGATATTTCCAGCGTCTAATGTAGTTGATCTTTTAGTTGAACTGATTATCGCCACAAAATCTTCAAAAGTGGTATTTACTTCAACTACAAACCCTTTATCCTAAAAAAAAGAAATCTTAGTATCAATAATGCATAAATCAAAGGAATACAGTACTTTTAAGATACACTATAGGTTAAAACGTAAGAATAAATAGTTATTTACCTTTAGAATGTCTTTTATTATCTTCTTCTCATCATGATAACGTGCTTTAAGATCCTCAACATAAAACTTGAAAAGATCAAGTGCAGTTGATCCTAATGAAAAAACTAAAGAAGTCAAAAGCTAGCTCTAACCAAAGAGCTGCAATTACTTTTTTGTTTAAAAAACAAAAATAAAGCACCCTTCCCCCAACATAATCACCTTTGCATTTGGCCCATTCCAACTACTACCATAACAGTAAATTAGGAAAGAAAATAATCTTACCAGGCTGACCAAGCATATTAGTGAATCTAATATCAGAACTAATAGTTGGATACAATTCCATCCAAGATGACATAGAATGTAGTTGTCCATGTTCATGTAATTCATCTAAAAATATCTAGGGAGAAAAATCATATTTGAAAAGTCATCTAAGTACATGAGAAATAAGAGTGTAACATGAAAACACACAAAAACTTTGACATAGTTAAAACTCTTCTACCAATGTTATCCCAAACCTGTTTGGGTATAAAGACTATTTCCTATTTGGGCAAAGTAACAACTGCCTTTAGGCAGAAAAATATTTTGTCCTTTAGAGAAAATAACTTTTACAACACCACTTTATCTTCCTAAGGTTCTATTTCCTACCCTTTCAGATAGAACCTAATTTTTAGCTTTAAAAAAAGGTAGAAGTTAACTTACAATATTGGGTATCTACCTCAAATGATGAGGCTAAAGAATGTATACGCATGTTTCCTTAAACATATACTCTGTCTTTAAAAATAGTGCCTAATGTGTTCTAGGTATTTTTATTTATTTTTTAAAAAACAAGGGGCCTTAAGAGGAAGATGTATAATTTTCCCAAAGTAGTTTGGAGACCTAGGATTCAAACCCATATCTAGTTTCAATTTCCACACTTCCTGCTTCCAACCCAATCCTTAGGGAGTTTAATCCTGTACATCAGCGGATCCCAACCCCCGGCCACAGAACCCGAACCGAGCCACACAGCAGGGAGTGAGTGGTGGAACAAGCATTACCACCCGAGCTCCGCCTTCTGTCAGATCAGTGGGAGCATCAGATTCTCATAGGATTGCGAACCATATTGTGAACTGAGCATGCCAGCAATCTAGGTTGTGTGGTCCTCATGATAATCTAATGCCTGATGATACCAACCCCCCACCCCACCCCAACAGGAAAAACTGTCTTCCACTGCTATACACAAATGTGACTAAAAGAAACTGTAACCCTATATTCTGTTGCCACAATTCCTATACCTGCACTGTTCAATAAGGTAGCCATTGACCTAACATAGCTTCTGGGTACATGAAATGTAGCTAGTCTGAGTTGTGATGTGCTGTTAAGTATAAAACATACAATGATCTTGAAGATTTAGTACCACAAATGTGGGCGGCAAGCCACCCGGGTGCCGAGGCAAGAGACTGAGGGCACGAGCTGTTCCAGTATAATAAAATATATAAAATGAGAATAGTTATATTAGATAAAGATCACAGATATGATTATATATGAATATCATTATTCATTAGTTTGTAGCAATTACTCTTTATTTCAATATAATAATAATCCTCGCTCTACAATCATAACCTAGGAAAAACCAGGCCATACAGTGATAGGAGCTGAGGTGACACAGTGAGAAGTGACCAGAAGAGTGCGAACCTTCTGTTATGCCCAGGCAGGGCCACCAGAGGGCTCCTTGGTCTAGTGGTAACGCCAGCGTCTGGGAAGACGCCCGTTGCCAAGTGGACCGTGGTCTAGCGGTAGCGTCAGTGTCAAGGAAAAACACCTGCTACTTAGCAGACCAGGAAAGGGAGTCTCTCTTTCCCCGGGGGAGTTTAGAGACGACTCTACTCCTCCACCTCTTGTGGAAGGCCTGACATCAGTCAGGTCCACCCGCAGTTATCCGGAGGCCTAACCGTCTCCCTGTGATGCTGTGCTTCAGTGGTCACACTCCTAGTCCGCCTTCATGTTCCATCCTGTACACCCGGCTCTGCCTTCTTGATAGCAGTAGCAAATTAGTGAAAGTACTAAAAGTCTCTGATATGCAGAAATAATGGTGTAAGCTGTCTCTCCTTTCTTTCTCTTTGCCTCGGCTGCCAGGCAGGGAAGGGCCCCCTGTCCAGTGGACACGTGACCCACATGACCTTACCTATCATTGGAGATGGATCACACTCCTTACCCTGCCCCTTTGTCTTGTATCCAATAAATATCAGTGCAGCCTGGCATTTGGGGCCACTACCGGTCTCCGTGTCTTGGTGGTAGTGGTCCCCTGGGCCCAGCTGCCTTTTATCTCTTTGTCTTGTGTCTTTATTTCTACAATCTCTTGTCTCCACACATGGGGAGAAAAACCCACCGACCCTGTGAGGCTGGACCCTACACATAAATATTAGCAATTTTTAAAAATACTGATTATGTGTTAAAATAATATTTGGTTATACTGGGTTAAATTACTAAAATAAATAATAAATTAAAATTGCATTTGTGGCATTCACATTTTTATTGGATAGAGCTGTCCTAAAGCAACATCAGGCACTTACAACTCCACTCATTCCTCTTCAGACGAGACTAAATATGTCCATACTCCCTTGCAACTCTGAAATTCTTTTCTCAAACCCTGCCTGTATCTACCCTTTTGTCAACTACCCTTACCCTTCAACATAAATGGAATTTTGTCTTAACCACCCTTGTTGTGCTCACCAGGTTCCTCACTTGCTCCCTCTTTTGAGTCTCTAAAATAGTTTAGAAACCATCTTCAGTGATACTCTAGTATCTTAGAACTTACCTCACTCTATCATACCTGTTTTGCTAGTGTTTCTTACACTTCCAGACTGGTGAGATCCGTCTGATAAAGTCAAAGAACTGTGACACTGAAATTATTTCTATAGTGGATCCCTAACCTGAAAGAATCACCTGAGAACTATTTTTTTAAAGCAATATTAATATTCAGATATTTAGAATATTCAATGACCGATGTGAATTCAGGTTTGAAAACCACTCTGACAAAACTGTATGGTTCTTATTCTCTATTTACTTGCCCCATTTTAGGGGTGAAAAAGCCTTGTCTTTTACATTATGGAAAGCAAGTTGCTTCAAGGATGGCTGGGCTTGATGTTTCTTCTTCCCTTGGCACTAATGACATCTTAGATGATGTAATACTTTTTTTTCTTTCTTTCTCTTGGTTGAGGGCGGGGTATGTTTGAGTCCTGTACACATTGCAGGATGTTTAGCAGCATCTCTTGCCTCTACACACTAGATGCCAGTAGCATGTTCCTCACAAATAGTGACAATCACAAAATCGTTCCTGGTTGAGCACCACTGTCTTAGATCCTAATCGGTATTAATTTTTCTCCATCTTCATCCTTCTTTTTGTTCCTTTATAAACTGCTCTCAGTGTAACTGTATTCATATATATGCTTGAATTCCAAACCTTACGAGATTTTGTTTAATAAGAGTCACCCTTATTTTTCAATTCTTCCTTCATTCTTTCCCTCTTAACTGGTTTTCTCTTACCCAAGAAAAGCCCTTCTCTTAACCCCAAGCTTATTTCAATTTCACCTTACTGAATATCTGAAAGGTATAACTATACCTCTAGTTACCTTTCGACTATTTGGCAGACCTTTAACTTTCCCTACCATGCCAATGGTCACTAAACACCTTAAATGCCACTCTTAACAGTATTCTTTCAGTCCTCATTCCATAAAAATTTCTTAACATGTTACTTTAGATGGATTCCTTTACCTCAGGGGTTTCTCAAAGACTTATTTGAAGGACTGTTTAAAAAAATCAGATTGTTAGGTCCCATTTCCAGAACCTGATTCTTTAAGTCTGACGTGGGGTTTCAGAATATGTATTTTCATAATTTCCCAGGTTTCAGAATATGCATTTTCATAATTTCCCAGGTGATACTGATTCTGTGCATCTGGGGATCCTGCTTTATCTTAAAACTCCAAACTCTTGGCTTCTGAGACACTATACATTCCTCTGGTTCTCCTTGAAAGCCTCAGATCAATCCTTTCCAGACGACACTGACTTCAAATACCAGTTTTAAGACATAAGAAAAACAAAGTCATAGTTTCCTCGTCATAGACGTGATGAATTTTCTGATTAGCAAATGAACACTAAATAAAAATAGTCATCATCATAACCATAATTACTGAGATGCTCTCCATTAATTGTATTTTATTGTCTAATGCCAATCTTCTCTTTTAATTCATTTCACTAAAGTCTTAAATAAATCTTTTGAAGTAGCAGAACAGGAAAATTACCAGGCTGAATATCTGAAAGAATATTAATACAACATACTTAACACCAATTTTATTAGTAGTAATCAGAAACTATGCCAGACACATAGCAATTTGATTCAAAGCCACATTTAGGCTTATTTGCGGAACCGTGTAGACTTTACATCAAAATTTCACCTCATAGTCTCCACCTTCAGTATTGTTTACGTTATAGTCTCATATTTTCTATGACCCAGATTTCCATCTTATTTTCACTGTATTATTATTTTTTCACACACGTCTCCTTATTTTAAACCACTGCAAAACCTTCATCAGAGACGTTAAAGCTTAGGTTGTCGAAGAGTGTATAATAGCCCTCCTAAATATCTGTCCTCCCCTTCTTCCTGGGCACATGGCTGCTTAGCTAAAAGCTAAGTTTTTTAGCCTCCTTTGTGTAGCTCGTTGTGGCCACGTGACTAAATTCTCAGCAACTGAACCCAAATGAAGGAGGTGAGCAGAACTTCTAAATCATTAGCTTTAAAAAAAGAACTGTTCTTTCGACTTTTTCCAAGTTAAAATGTGAAATGGGGGCAGCATACCCCTAACTCTGCAGAGAAGGTTAACACGCTAGGGCACTGCTTCTCAAAGTATGCTCCAACAGTATCGATACCACCTGGAAATTTAGAAATGTAAATTTTCAGACTCCAACCCAGACTTACTAATTCAAATTCTTCAGGTAAGGTCAAACAATTTGTGTTTTTAACCGTTGTAGAATATGATAGTCTAGGAAGTCCCTAAGATAAAGGAACCCATCAAGAGTAGTAAATGTTAAGTTTTCATTGAATAAGGACCGAAATCATTCTACTGGCTGTGGCGTTTAAGATGGTTAGTAACCTTTGGCATAGTGGGAATAATTTTTTCTTTTTTTTTTTTTTTTGAGACAGGATCTCGCTCTTTCGCACAGTCTAGAGTGCAATGGCGCCATCACAGCTCACTGCAGTCTTGACCTCCTGGGCTCAGGTTCTCCCATCTCAGCCTCCTGAGTAGCTGGGGCTACAGACGTGCACCACCACACCCGGCTAATTATTATTATTATTTTTTGTATTTTTAGTAGGGAGCGGGTTTCATCATGTTGCCCAGGCTGGTCTTGAACTTCTGGACTCAAGCAATTGCCAGCCTCAGCCTCCCAAAGTGCTGGGATTATGGGCATGAGCCACTGTGCCCAGCCAGAAGAAATTTTTAAAAAGTCCTCTATGTCATTCTGATACACACTGAATTTTGAGAACCTCTGCCTTAGGGGATGGCAATATGCCCTGCCCTAGACCAAAAAGACTGTTATATCAAGAAAAAAACTTAAAATTTAAGCCACTGTAACCTAGCATTCACCCTAATACAATGGTTAATGGAAGAGACCCTGTAATCAAAACTGCATGGATTCAAATTCTGGCTTCACTATTCAGCAACTGTTGAACTTGGGCAAGTCACTTCAACTCTTCATTTCCTTAGTTATATAAACTTATGTAACAAAAACAGTAAGTACCCTTATAAGATAAGACTGTCATAAAAATTGAGATTGTAAACATAAATTGTATTGACAGTAAGCAATCAAAGAACATTAGCTATTACAATTATTATTGAAATGGGTGAGATATGAAATGCAAAATATTCATTGCTCCATGATATTTTCTATCACTGAAAATAAAAATGATACTTGAAGATGAAAATAAACTACTAGCTGAAAAACATGCAATCCCAGGTCCTTTTTTTAGTGTTTAAGAAATTATGGCCCATCCCCCAAACTATACCCTAGCAGTCCCTTTGTCCTCTAGAAACTAAGTATCATCTACTACTGACTCACCACACATATCTTGTTTCCAGTCATCTCTCCTGTTGTTTTCCCCAACCGAAACCTCATTTATCAATGTTCATCTGTAGAACTTAAAGAGTTAAATGTGTATGAGTCCTCACAAAGCCTAAGTCTATGATCTGGGAACAGTTGTCTCAAAATTCTTTATATTACTGTTCAAGTTCTGTAAGTATAATATAAAACTAAGTTAGAAAAGAGCTTTTTCTTTTACCTGGAAAGATTCCCTATTTTTTCGCTGTCGTCTCCTTTCTCTTAGCAAACTCTTCTGTTTTTCTTCTTCTTCCTCCTTTTCTAAAGCCCGAATGTGTTCTTCAAAGCAAATTAATGCATCTTCTTTGTCCATATCTAAAGTATTTGCCAGTTAAAATTTAAAGTGTCAAATGTCAACAAGTAGTTTATTTGCATTAGATCCCCCAAAATTTCAAAATCACCTGTCAAAAATACTTTTAGCTAGGCTAGGGTGAGGTGGCTCATGCCTGTAATCTCAACACTTTGGAAAGCTGAGGTGGGAGGATTGCTTGAGCCCAGGAGTTCAAGACTAGCCTGGGCAACACAGCAAGACCCTGTCTCTAAACAAACAAACAAACTTGTATTTAAACTCAATATGATTTGTAATCATCTGCATAGGAAAGTTTTAAGGAAAATTTCACAAAAAACTCAATGAAAGGCACTCTGAAACATGTCATAGGATAAAACAAAGGACGTGCATATGGCAAAACTAATGAAAATAAAAGTGTTATGATAAAATGTGTTTGCAATATCATAATTATTCCAGGAGCTTAGTATAGAACTGTGCACCCTATAAAAAAAATCTACTGAAGCATGACTTTTAGAGGGGTAGCTGAGAAAGCTATAATTTAGAAAGCAATTGGTTAACTCACAAAGAATACTTAGGGAAGCCTAATGTAAGACAATTCTAATACATTTTCTTCTTTTTACAAATCTGTAATGTTATTACCTAAAGAAAACATGAGTAAAATGCGGTAATTCATTTAGTTCTTACCAAGTTACATACAAATGGCTAAGCATGATTTCAAATTTGACCTATAATTTAAATATTTCAAGGATTACCTGATAAAGCTACTTTAAATTTGAAAAAACATTTTGTCATGAATCACAAACTCAATGAGAAAGAAATATCCTATCTGGAAATAAACACTTTTTCAGAAATGAACCAACAACTGCATAAAATTCAGTTAGTTATCTCATATAAAAAGTGAAAATAATTCTTCGCTGCTGGAGGACACTATTTAAAACTATTTCTCTTAGCCATTATTCTTACTTTGTAACTCCTCATCTTCTGCAAAAGTTGGATTATCCATCAGATACTGCTGGGCTTCAGACCAAGTGGTAGAGTATGTTACATTAGCCATGTTGTCAAGTATGTTTTTTAAGGCTTCCCAATTTCTCTTTCGCAACTGCTTTGCTTGTTCCTATAGCAGAAGTATGAATATATATGTTTCAAAGTTCCAAGAAATTAAGATATTTAAATTGCAATTAGTGAAGGCTTTATATTCTAATGGATGACCACATTTCAAAGGTTAAATCAAATTTCAAGTAAATTTCATTTACTTTACATGACCACACTGCTGACTTTGCTTGCTCTTGCCTAAGCACTTGGCTTTGGTACTTAGCTTCACATTTTCCACCTCCTTCTAAAAGCCAGAATCTCGAAACCATGTTTTCTGCTTTTCCCCCATACATTCCCCACTATATAAACCTTTCTACCACTAAGCATTACAGACAAAAACTAAGGTTACCATGGACAAGTCACATTGCAGGTAAATGCTAAAGTCTTCAATGACCTTCAGCTATGTTTAAATTTGATAATACTTGCATCTATGTGTTCCTTGAAAACTAGAAAGCATAAAATATAATAGTGCACAATGAAAAAGAGACAGGAGTGAAATAGGTATTTTAAAATGTTGTAAGTTTTGTAGAAACAACTGCACACTGCTGTCATTCTTGTACCAATCATATGTGTGTTATAAGCAAAAAAACCCAGCATTTTTAAACGTAATGAGCAAAAAAGGTACCTTCTTTTTCAAAGTGAGTGTTTAAGATAGCCAATTAATGACAATACAAATAGTTGAATTACCCACTGAGTCTACATCAGTACTTAATACGCTACATGAATGATAAAGCAGCTTATTATAAAAGTTATACATTCCATCTTTAAATTTTACTTCCAATAAATAAATCTGCTATACCACATAAACCGGATAAACTAAGCCACAAAAATGTACACATTTTAAAACCAATCTTCCTGAGAATGAGGAAACATCTTGTGTTATCTATAAATACCAGTAACTAAGAATACCTTTTCTTTTTTTGAAAGAAAGAACAGAACATCTTCGTAGATTTCAAGACGATCACGTTCTGATATTGCATTCCAAACTTCCATCTCTCCAAACATTTGCTCTGCTTTTCTATGTTAAAAAATTATATTATACAATAAAAATTAATCTTAACCAATTTTTAAACTAAATTTAAAACTACAAAATGAATACTTTCTATTCGAAGTTCATAAAAATATTAAAGGCAAACTCCTGGATAATTATGAAAAAAAAAATAGCACATGCCTCCCTCTCTCATTAGAGATAGAGGGGATAATTCACATTAGGCACTGCTTATAGTCTAGACTACCTCTATATCTAGTGGCAGCCACACAGACTACCAAACTGCTGACAGAACTAAATTATAGACTTCTCTGGAATACTGAGGAAAACAAAGAAGTACATACAGAAAATAGGCTTAATAACATATCGAAAAACTTTTAACATTAAATTATCCACAATTTTACATAAGCAATCTAAAATGAAGAATGCTATATAAAACAATTATCCAAAATGCTATGCCTACGTAATGAAAACTGCCTCTTTTTACTCCACAAAGATCAATAATGTCAATGTTTTTAAGTAAAAGGCAATCAAATTTGATTTTTCTTTTTTTTTTTTGGAGACAGGGTCTCGCTGTCACCCTGGAGTGCAGTGGTGCAATTATGGCTCACTGCAGCCTTGACATTCCCAAGCTCAAGTGATTTTTCCACCTCAGCCTCCCAAGGAGCTGGGACTACAGGCACGTGCCACCATGTTTGGCTAATTTTTGTATTTTTCTTTTTTTCCCCTATAAACAAGGTTTTACCATGTTGCCAAGGCTGGTCTTGAACTCCTGGGCTCAAGCCATCTGCTTGCCTTGGCCTCACAAATAGTAGGGATTATAGGTGTGAGCCACCACGTCTAGCCTCCAACTTGATTATTGAATTTAGTCTTTCTCCCCTTCTTCCAGTCTCTAAAAAACTTAGTAAGTCTACAAGTTAAATTCTACATTTAACTACAGATTTATTTGGTACCTCATGAAGCTTCCACATTCATAATTATCTAGTTTTATTTAATGAGCTCTGGATCAGCTACTGCACATGGCAAAAAAGTACGACACAAACAACAATGTAGTAAATATAGGCCATGCAACATTCAACATCTTACTTGTATCTGGTTGTAGAAGTCATTTTCTCATGATTTTCAAGAAAACGCTGAAAGGATTCCTTAGCCTCTTTGTACTTTGATCTTGCTTCTTCTTTTTCTTCTTTTTCTGTCTGGACTTTATAGGCATTAAAGGCTTGCTTTTTTTCACTTAACTTTGCCAAAGCACTAATATAAAAACACCATATAAGAGTAGACACAGGCAAAAGAATCAAATATTAGTGATTTGAAAAAAATAAAATTGTTTACATATATAAATTTTAAAAATTTCAAAAATTAAAGACAAGAAATGATTGGAGAAAGTAATTTCTACTTTTAAAATAATTATTATTTTATATGTAGCAGGGTACTCAAATCGTTTGACTGACTTTTTGGTTATTAGACATAAAACAACTCTATACTTGGTATCCTAAACAGATGTCAACAGAGTTAAATGTTTTCTCTTTCTACACAACTTTAAATGTGTTAGGCTTGCTATGCTCAAACTGAAAAGTAAAAAAAAGTTGAAGTATTACCTGTATCGTGGATCATTAATAATCATTTTCATAGCTTGCTCCCATGAAGCATTTGATGGTACCCGCTGAAAATCATTTAAATGAAAAATTAAAATTTCACACAAGAAGAGTTTAAGTCACATAACAGGAACCAAGTATAATACTCACTGCAAATATCAAGCATTTCCATTTGCAGGAGTTTGAACAAGTTTTAAAAAATAGTTTTTTATTGAAGGCAAATCTGTGTAATACACCTATGAACTAAAACGAAAACTTTAACTGAAATTTAAATAGAGCATAAATGCTTTTTTCTTAGACTACTGATAAAAGATAATTATTATGAATTTAAAAACCCCTTACATTAAATATTGGGTAGAAATGTGCTTGTGTAATACCTTGTACACAATAGTTTTTGTGTTGAAAGTCAGTTTCACAAGTGTTCTTCAAAAAAAAAACAAGACACATTTAGTTGTTTTTCAGTTCAACAGTTCATGAGACTGGTATTATCAATACCATCAAAGTTTAAAGAGTAACGTCATTTATTGGGTAAATATTATGCATCACATAAAAATCTGTAATATATAATTGATGTCAAAAAGTTAAACAATAAAAATCTGCAATATTAATACCTTTTCTTTCAATAATTCTTTAAAAGCTTGCTTTGCCTCCTCCTTTGTATTCCAAGTGTATGTTTTCTTTGCTGGTTGGCTCTCCTCCTCTTCCTTTTTGGGAGTAAAACTAGAGAGAAATTCAAATGTGGTATTTATGAATTAAATAAATTTTTGTTTCATTTAGAAAAATAATGCCTAAACTGTTTAAATGTTTGATGTTGAATTAAAATTTGACATTTAGGATAAAAGCTATATGAACTCTAAAAAAAACACTTATCTGAAGACAAAGAAATAAAGATAATAGTTTCCTAAAACTTCAGTTATTAAATCAGTTTTTAAGACCCTGGACAAATGACAAAATAAACGTTTAACTGACTTAAGACACTAGCTCCTCTGGCCCACAGGTTAATAGTTTTAAATGGCTTATTAAACTCATTCAGTGGTTCCACATTAGTGCTGTAATAACTCTAAGGATTTGGGCAAGGGTGAAGATTAATAAGATGTAAGGATCAATCTAAATCAGGATTGACAAACTACAACCCACTAGTCAAATTCAGCCTATTAATTTTTGTAATTCTAGTTTTACTTGAAAATGCCCATGTTCATTTGTTTACAGATTATCGCTGACTGTGCTACCACAGCTGAATTGAGTCACTATATAAAGACTATATCACACAAATAACCCAAAAATATTTCCAATCTGATATTTCATGAAAAAGTGTGCTGAATACTGATGTCAAACAAAAATTAATACTACCTAGAATTACTAACTTGTTTAATAATTGGGGGTCTTCCTGACAAGAAAAAATTGTATAAGCCTTACATTTCTTTCTACATAATAAGGGAATGTATGGGGTGGGGGTCGGGGGATGAAAAAAAAATACTTTAAGTAGAATGCTGATGCAAAGAGACATTGTAGTAGATACTGACAAAAAATGATCTCTATTATAGTAATTAAAATCAAAAGCATAATGACTCAGGCACTATATCAAGGAAATGTCGGAATGAAAAAAAGCAGGAAACAACTATTTAATGTTAAACTTATGGAAAACATTATTGATGAAAAGTTTCAGTATGACAAGATGCAAAATAAAATTATTGCAAAAAGCCTAAGTATCTACGGATAGGGGAGCACTTCCATTCATGCACAATCAAATGATAGTAACCCATCACTAGACATGATGGGTACACATTTCTATCAATGTGGAAGATGTCTCTGATATATTAGATATATATTCATGTATCTTAAATGTAGAGAAAATGTTAATTTCATTTTCATGCCTTCAAATACGCCATACGGATTTCTTTTAAAACGTTTTAAGCATCAGAAAAAGTTATCAATCTATTTTGACTTTGGGAAACTAACATACGAACAACAAAAGAACACTTAAAATAAGGGATGGATGGATGAAGGCAACACGCTTAAATATTAAGATGGATAATCATGTTTGGATAATGAGCTTACGGTTAACTATTTTTTTAAAAAAAACATGAGGGCACCCTTAAAGTCAAGAAATTTAGCTTGATTTCACTTTCTAAAGCTCTATAAAGCACAGCCATATAAACTGTACTAGACTACAGGTTATGCAAGTACATACAAACTGTGAACTCTTGACAGATACAGCTTTGCTTTATTAAAAAGTTGTATTACTTTAGTCTAAGAGTGAAATGAGAGTTTTCTTATATCTGGTGTTATCTTTTAAATGTTTCTCTACTTGATTTTCACTTAGAAAAATAATCACAATATTACTTTAACTTGTATTTCTTTATTATTATGGCTGAATGGCTTTTCATATACTTCTAGACAACTTTCTTTCTCTGTAAATTGCCTTTTTTCCTTGGTCAGGTAGAAAAATCCCAGCATTTTGGGAGGCTGAGGCAGGCCAATGAGCTAGGCATGGTGCATGTGCCTGCAGTCCCAGCTACTCAGGAGGAGACTGAGGTGGGAGAATCGCTTGAGCCCAGGAGGTCGAGGATGCAGCGAGCCCTGATCACGCCACTGCATTCCAGCCTGGATGACAGAGGGAGACTCTTAAAAAAAAAAAAAAAAAAAAAAAAAAAAAGGGGGTGGCCTTGCTCTCTCACCCAGGCTGGAGTGCAGCAGTATAATCATAGCTCACTGCAGCCTTGAACTCCTAGGCTCAGTGACCCTCCTGCCTCAGCCTCCCCAGTAGTTGAGGTTAAAAGTGCTGGCTGATTTTTAAATTTTTTGTAGAGACAGGGTCTTGCTATGTTGCCCAAGTTGACATTAAACTCTTGGCCTCAAATGATCCTCCTGCCTCGTCCTCCCAAAGTGCTGGGATTACAGGTGCGAGCCACCATGCCTAGCCATAAACTGCTTTTTTCCCCCCTATAATTCCTTTTTCTACAAAGCTGTATTTTTAAAACTGATTTATAGGAGGCTGAAACCCAAAACACCAATAACCAAAGAAGAAACAGTACACCTATCTTAACTGAAAATATTGAGTCTGTTAATCATGAATTTTTGCACTGCTCTCATGTAAAATATTGCATCAAGATATGATGTATCTTGCTTACTAAGGTTTTTGGCAATCTTTCAGATTTGTGCCCCAACTACCCAGCCTTGGCTCTTCTACTTGTTAAAATTTCAGTGAACTAAAAATTTCAAGTTTGCTGGCATAACCCTCCAAAATTCAGCCTGAAAACTGATCGACTGTCTTAACGGCTTGATATTACGATTCTCAAAAAAATTTATTTAAACAATTTATGGCCACTAAACTGGCAACTACTTTTATTAATGAAATCTGGTACTGATTTTCAGAAGACAAGTTACTAAACTTACTCAGCTACAGTTTCTTGCTTAGATGTTTCTTCTCCAGTATTACTGGATACTTCCACACTTTGATCCTGAATAGCAGGGGTACTAGTAAGTTGTGCTTGTTCCTCAGTTGAAATAGTTACTGTATTCTCATTATCTACAACAGTAGCAACAATGGAAGTAACTTCAGGCTCAGGAACAACTGGAACAGTTCCACTGACAGTATTAGAAGTAGAAGTGGAAGCATTAGCATTGGCTGCAGCTGCTGCAGCTGCTGCTGCTGCTGCAGCTGCAACAACAGCAGCTGCTGCTTCTGCAGCAGCCATGGTGCTCATTGTGGTCGGAATTTCTGTTGCAGGGACTGGGGCTGTTGATGTTGTGGTGCATTCTTCTTGCTTACTATACATTAAAAAAAGAGAACACTGGTCATTTCATTATTGTAATCAGAAAGCTAAATAAAGCTAGCTTTAAAATTGTCATAAAATCAAATAATAAGAAATAATTGAAGGAAAAAACAGCAAGAAATGCCAAACCCATTGAAAAAGATTTTAAAACCACAGAATATAACTGTACTACTTTAATTCCATTAACATTCATGGTAATGTATTACAGGCACCCAAAAGTTCAGTAAGCATTCACATTTATAAAATACCCAATTTATCAGATTGTATTACACCATGAAATATGACCCATATCAAAAAGTTCTCTAAGAACTTTGAATTTTCTCCAATTCACCCATTTAGAGGAAACCCTGTGTAAAGGAAGAGATACACAGATATATTTCGTCCATTCCCTCATCAACTCAAACTGAATTTTGGACTATTCTGTAACACAGTCTTCTTAATTTGTAAGGCATACCGTACAAATTCTAATAATCACTGTATAGCAAAGCATCAAATTGAGTAAATATCCCCCTCCCTAATTTTTCCTCAACAAAATGCTACAAGGACATCAAAATATCAAGCCTAACATGTTAAATCATTACTTGTGTTACCAAGAAAATTGAGCAAACACAAGGATATTATAGGAGAGACCAAATTCGTAAATAAAAATTGATGTCCAAAATTGCTTACCTGCTTTCTTCAGCTTTGATCATTGCTATTAAAGAGAGAAAAAAAGTCATCTACTAGTTTTAAAATATAATCACTGAAAACAAACTTTAAAAGATTTAAACTTTAAAAGTATCATACAAAAGGATTTCATTTTCCATCCTAAAAAATAAAAAATCACTTTTACAGAACAAATTCTTGCTCTAAAAGTCTAGTATAGCAAATAAAGAATAAAACAAATTTAAATAAGAGTAATTACTAGGAAAGCTTATTCCATGCTGCTGCTTTCCCAGAGGCTGCTGTAACAACTCTATGAAAGTATCTGCATAATTCTGGAAGAAAACAGTATTTTCTCCAGGGATGAGACTCGTTCGATTTATTTTTAAGATACTAAATTCAAAATGGGATCAAATTTATTATAAAATTCCAGCATATATATACTAGCATTGACAAGTAGATAGATAGTTATGCACACCAACTATTTGTAGTAGGGTTACATCAGAAATGAGCTTGATACTTCGTAAATGATCAACTGGGAATCTACCTATCTACATATTATTATTAGCCAGTGCTAGTATAGGTAACTTAAACTGAGCTTTAAAGATCTGCACAATTTCAGTTTTCATTCCAGTACATTTTCCTTTGGATGTAACAAAAATATCTTCTATTTGACATTATGAAGGGAATGAGGTTCTCCACATTAAGTAATAACACAAGCCTAACTCTTTACAAAAATATTTTTTAAACTTATCACCCTTTAAAGAAAAATATTTCTGAAAATCTGTTTAGGATGGCTGAAAAAAGGTACTTAAAAAGTTACCATTACTAATGTAAATTAACATTTTTCTGATACAGTGATGATCTAACTAATGAGGTGGCACAAGGAAAAGGTAAAGGGGCTTAATATGACAGAGTCTTTTAGGAAATTTTTATTCTCTTTTCCTGCCAGATGTCACTCCACATCACTATCTACTTTATTAGCCCCATTCTCCTACAATCTGCTACTTCTAATTTTATATAATTTATGACACTAGATTCTATTAGAAGTGAGTATAAAAACTAGATTTTCAATCCCTACTGATTATCTCTATTTTAAGTTTTAGGTTTTACATTTAGTATTAAGTCTTTCTAGATTTTTAGGAGTTATTCTGATTAGTTCCAATGTTGAAAAATTTTCCCTTTGTAAGTGAGGCATGATACTTCGTTTACCTTAATTCTTTCATAATGAACATATCAAGGCTATTTTGCAACACTATGCTAAACAAAACCAGCATTAAATATATAGTCTGACAATATACTAACAAAATATAAATGGATATAGATTCAAGGTACTCTACTATCTATTACCATAAAATGAGTTAAAACACAAGTTATATGTATGCACCAACACTCAGTAGGATTTGGAAATTTTGTATGTGAATTCCTTGTTCAATTGAATGATAAACAATCTTTTTTCTAAAAACCAAAGTACAACTTTAAAAGCTACAAGCTCATTTATAATATAACCCTTTAATGAAAAGAATTCTTAGAGATTTTTCACTGCAGATTTATCCAATCATGGTTAGTGAATATTAGTGACACACTCTAATAAAAATGTTAAGTATGACAGAAAATGAATTATCAAAGCAGCTCACCATGCAGGTTTGATTTTGTAATAAGACTTCCAGCAACAATGGTATTCTGGTATCCTAGTTTCAGTGGAATCAAATCAAATAAAAATCTATTTAAAATCTATAGAACTGAGATCTAAAGCAACAAGAAAATAAGAGCCCAAAAAACTGTTACGCCATTTTAAATGTTCTAGTCATTTAATTTATTAAAAAAAAAAAAAAAAAAAAAAAAGGCCTTTGTTTGAACAATCCTATTCTGGAGGAATTGTTTCAAAGTGAATGGCATATACATGTAAAACACATACATTAAAAACTACGTTTCCCCATTTTACCTTCAAGATCCTCAAGTTCTTTAGGTTTGGCCCAGCGAGATTCTTTTGTTTGAGAATTGTAATAGTAAGGCTTTCCAGAATCTGATTTGTATTCCTTCCAGGGGCATTTAGATAAGAGTTGCTAAAGAGGAAAAATTTCATTGTTAATAATAATATATTTAACATCACTGATCAATTGCATGGCATGGCTGTTTTCACTAGAAATTACCAATTGATACAATTCTAAAACTTGTGAGATGATGGTAATAATATAAACTATCAATTACTGAATACTCACTGAGTGATGTAATTTGAATACATTATTTAATCTTTGTAACACTGCAAGATATATAACATAATTCTATATCTAGGGACTGTTACTTGAAGTCAGAAAGTAACTTGTTTAAGGTAATATACTCATTAAAAAGCAAAGACAAGATTCAAAACCAGTTCTACATGAATTTCAAATCCTATTTACTCTTACCATTCACACCCCATTGTAGGTCAAGATTATCATCCATATTTAACAGACTTCTCAAATACTAATACTAGTTGGAAAACCATAAAAGTTGGAAAAAACCAAAATCTAGTTTAGTCATGCTTAGATTTCAGTTTCGTAGTTTATGAATGAATTAACTTATGTAAGAAAACACGTAGGTATAATATACTTAAAATCGAATAAACAAAACCTGTTAGGGTAGTATGAGAAATCTATTCAAAAGCTTGAATCCAGACAAACAGTGTCTTGGACAAAGTATATAATTAATATCATTGACTATAAATCAGTATTGGAATACACATTTTTAAAAATCGACCAACCTCCTCTCCCAAGCACTGCTGTGCATATTAGTATGGCAACCTGGAAAATACTTTTACCTTCTCAAATTCCTTAATTAGGAAGAGAAGAAAACAAAAAGGTATACCACCAGCTAGGATGAAACTTAAGCATAGCCTGGAATGCCAGATCAACTCTTACTTACTTAGCACCCCAGAGTTTCTAATTAAACAACATCGACACTGCTTAATTCAGTTTATTCCTTCAATCTTAACTTTTTCTTCAATATCTGTATATTTTGAATGGTAAAACTTACAGCACAAAATAAATAAAAACACACTTTTTAAAAGGGCATTTCCTACAAAGAGAAAACTTCCTACTCTAAGAGAAGGAAGTATTTGTAGCTAACTTAATTTCATCTCCACTACTCTTAACCCTACTGGAAATTTAAGAACTCAGCAGAAGTCATTTAAAATCACCCAGTTTTGCTATAAATAGAAACAAAAAAAGGGGGGGGGGGCAGGGAAAGAAACAGTCTTCCCCACTTCCAATTTATTATTTAAATCACCTTTTTAAAATTGATCCCACTCTACTAGGTTTCCTAAGGTGGGATAAAATCAGTAAATAAAATTATTCTGATGAGTTTTATTCTTCTTCTTCCCGATTGGTGTAACTATACTAACCCTCTTTGTTTCTGAATGTCTTTACAGATCCTCTTCTGACATTTAAGCAGTACTGCTCTTTCATAATTAACTACTTACAAAATCCTAAAAAATATGCCCCAGTCTACTTGACAGTCCCTAAATTCCAGCCCTCAAACTTTTACCTCAGCAGGTGTTTTGAGATCATCTGGTTTCTCCCAGGTAGATTGTTTGGTTTCAGTGTTGTAGTAATAAGTCCTTCCATCAGGTGATTTATGTTCAGTCCACATTGATTTCTAAAGAACAAAGATTATAAAAAGATGTAAATTATGTAATAATGTCATTGACGATATCAGTATGATTAGTTTCAAGGCAATAAATATATTAATAAATCAATTAAAAGTATAAACTGGGCATATTTTAACAGTTTAAGTAATCTAGAATAATTCATCAATACAAGTAGGAAAGGAACTGACAATGTTTTTAGAGTACTTCAAAAGCAGCATGGGTAAATTCAAGTTTCAGGATCTCTCTGAATTACAAAGATAAGACTACTCTCCAAAGAACAGTAACTTTATAGCTTACATACACAAGACAATCTTTCAGAATACAAATCTGTGCCTAGTGGATAAAGAAAACATAGGAACTAGATGTTAATATAGTTGAACTGACCATGTGATCATTTATTCATCTACTGTAGTCCAAGGAATCCTTGTATCAACTTAGACAAAGTTCTAATTGACATGCCATAAAGACACAGCTGTCAAAACTGGAAAACACAGCTTCTGGACAACAATCAGAATTTAACTATCAACAAGATGAAATTTGACAGGGATAAAACTTGTATGTGAATGCCTCAAAACAAGATAGATGAGATAAAATTTTACATGAATGAAACTATAGAATATAAATCCACTATTAAGGTCAACAGAACACACTAAGAACCTACTAGAAGTTGCTAATGATACTTCAGGAAACACTAGACATCCCTCAGATAAAAGTTGGTTAAAAGTTTTAAAAGGCATCATGAATGAATGATTTACTAGATGATATCAAAGGTAGTAAATCTAGTTTTTTCAAATGGTGACAAATTTAACTATACTTGAAGGAGGGTAACAAAAATGATTTATATAGTATTTTCTCAAATCTAAGACATATTATTGTACAAACCTCTTAAGAAAAAATAAAATCGCTATCAAACGATCATATGCTTTTCTATCGCTTGGATTTTACTACAAACTTATTTAAAGTTACAGTCTTACTTGCACATTAATTTTACCATATACCACTTTTATGCAAACATAACAAGAAAAATAGGCAAATAAAGTACTTAAGAGATCCCTTAAATTTCCTCACACTGAGACTCTGTGTCAGAGTGGCTGATATCCATTATATTCCAAATATAAGCTCTTTAGCATCAAATATATTGGTAATATAGTGTATCTTTTAAAAAATCATAAAACAAGTGAAAAGTCACTGGTACTGGTTCTTAATGCCTTTTGTACCTTATTTAAAAAGCTGATTTTTTATTTTTTCTTATCAACTTTAGAGTAAGCGCTCACTTAGTTTTGATTTCTGTTTTGGGAATATGACTGAACATATGTGATTCATTTCTTTACCGATTTTCTCACCGTAATCATTTTATTCCTAGCTACTAAGGGAGTGACGTCACTTTCATGATTTTCTTTGAAACCAATGACATCCATTCTTTTGATATGGGCACTTTTGCTGTTTACTCATGCACAACTGCTACCCCGACAATGGAGGTCACAGACACTATGGATTACAGCAGGGGTCTCCAACCCCCAGGCCATGGACCATGGGGCAGTTCCAGTCCGTGGCCTGTTGGGAACCAGGCTGCACAGCAGGAGGTGAGCAGTGGGCGAGCAAACAAAGCTTCATCTGTATTTGCAGTCGCTCTCCATCACTCACATCACCTCATGAGCTCTGCCTCCTGTCCTATCAGCGGTGGCATTAGTTTCTCATAGGAGTGCAAACCTTATCGTGACCTGTGCATGTGAGGCTGCATGCTCCTTATGAGAATGTAATGCCTGATGATCTCTCACTGTCTCCCAACTAGACAGTCCCATCTGCAATAAATTTCTGCATGCTGTAGCAGGATTATTAGATAATTCCAAAGCTGTGTTAAATTCTAGCACTTTATACTGGATAAAACCACCACAATATCTCTTAAGCAAATATAAAACAGGTGTTGGAAAAATAATCTGGCTTTCTGCTATTAGCCTGCTTTAACTTGTTTTCATCAAAAGGTGGTGCGATTAGAAACCCAAGTGTGGAAACTTCAACTATATGGTAATGCTTTATTTCACAAATTAAATGGTGTTAAGACAGATAAAGGGGTTTATTTTTCTTTTAAAAACAACTAATGATCTCAGTAGCATCTCAAAGCTGCACTACCTAAACAGAGTTCTACCATAAGCTGCAAAATTGTGTAGACTACTTTCAACTTTCCAAGTCACATCTGCTAAGGAGCATCAAGGAAAGAGCAAAATCAGCAAAACCACGAGGAAATAAAAGAATAAAAAAGAAAAGGACACTGTATAGCTGACCAAATGATGAGGAGGGAGAGGAGACAGAAGCTAATAAAACAAATAGAAATCAACTTAATATTCTTTACCTATTTATTTAAGCCTTATAACTAACTACACTACAACGCAAATATAATTACTATCTTTCTATAGATAAGAAAACCAAGGTTTAGTAAGGCTAGTAACTTGCTCATAGGGACTTGGGAAATGACACTAGAACATCGAACTGCTTTTCAAGACCACAATTATTTTATTACCAACAGTTATTGTGCTAATAAAAAATTAGATATGAAACGACAGTTCTGGGAAATCAATTAAAACAAGATTTTTGGGCGAGTAGGTAGATAAATTGAGAGTATATCAGCAAAATAAGGGATAAAATTATCCTTACTATATCGACAATCAATATGAAAACACAGTCTACTGGAAAAATAAACATGGCCATAGACAGAATACAGTTAATATATTAGATGTTCAACTTCACTAGCCAATCAAAAAACCACACATGAAAACTTTCTGCTCATCAGATAAATGACAAAGACCATTAATATACAATGTGAAAGAAGTGTGAGAAAAAGGGTATTTTCACGTGCTACTGCTGGGAATGAAATTAGCATAAAGGCAATTCAGCAGTTCTTACAGATATTAAAAATGCAAACATCACCATTTGAACCTTAAATTTCACTCTGAAAACTTCCATTCATATTGTTGCAAACACGTACAAGGACGTTGTTTACAAGATCATTACGTGTAATGGTGAAGAATTACAGTTAACTCAATGTCCACCCATAGGAAAACAGGTCAATTATGGTCCATTCATATTACTGATTATCTTATTTATAATAAAATAGAAAATGTCTAAAATGCAGTGCCAAATGATACAGTGGCAAAAATATATACAGAAAAATCATTTGAAATGCAAAGAAAACTGGGCATAAGGAAAAAAGCATGCACATATACCTATCACAAGTAATAAGCTCTTCAGGTTCAGAAAAAGCTAGTCAATAAGACACAAAGAAGGTTTTAAAGAAATTCAATAAATATATTCAAACTCAACCTTCTATGTGTCATGGAGACAAACACATATACACACACATTTGTACAATGTATAAGCTGAATTTATGAAAACTAGGAAAAAATGGCTAAATCCAAACACTGAATAAATAGAAAAATCCCCTTACTACTCTAAATAAGGAAAATATTAAAAAGCTGGCTAGGCTTGGTGGCTTCTGCCTGTAATCCCAGCATTTTGGGAGGCCGAGGCAGGAAAATCACCTGAGGTCAGGAGTTCGAGACCAGCCTGGCTAACAAGGTGAAACTCCATTTCTACTGTACTGAAAATATAAAAAATTAGCTAGGCGTGGTGGCACACGCCTGTAATCCCAGCTGCTCAGGAGGCTGAGGCAGGAGAATCACTTGAACCCGGGAGGCGGAGGTTGCAGTAAGCCAAGATCGTGCCATTGCACTCCAGCTTGGGCACCAAGAGCAAAACTCTGTCTCAAAAAAAAAAAAAAAGAAAAGAAAAAGCCAAATAATAATCAGAATTGAGGAAAAATAGAATCACAGATACAGATTTAAAAACAATCAAAACCTAGAGAAAATGATTTCCAAGCAAATCACTTCACCAAAATTCACCCCAGAAAAAGCACATCACACTTGAACATCCCAACAACACAGAAACAAGAGAAAGATACAAAACCAGATGGTTTCACAGCAGAATGTTATACAACCTTTAAAGAACACAGAATTGCAATGTTATATCGGGATTTCAGATTATAGGGGGAAAAAGATGAAAAGCTCTCCATTAATTAAAAAGAAACAGAAAAGATACCAGAAGAGCATCATGAATGTAAATTTAACAACATATACACTCTGACCAAGCAGAATTTACTGTAGTACAAGAGTAGTTCAATATTAGAAAATCTACAGAAGAAATTATTTCCATTATCTAATCAAATAAAAAAACAAGTATGTGATTCCACTATGGTATGATCAAATCATACCCAGAAAACTAAGTTCACAAGTATTCAAAAAATAAAAAAACCAAAATGCTCAAATGAAATAATTTAAGAAATAAAAAACCTAAATGATAAAAGGCAATCAGTTATCACCCTAAAGCCACTTCCATTAAAATCACAAAAGCACACCTGGAATCACTAAAATTCTGGCAAATATACCACAGCAATAAAATGAAATTACTGGTGTAAATTTTGGAGAAGTAAAGTTCTCTTGCCTTTACTGCTATTTTTATATATATATAAAATTCCAGTGAAATCTAATTACAGTTTTTAAATACTATTTGAACTGATAAGGAAATCTGGTAATGTCATTGGTCACAAGACAAATATACAAAATAATCTGCATAGACGATAACTAGGTTAAAATAAACATAGGAAAAATTCTGTACTCACAATGTAACATTTTTTTCTTTTTTTTGAGAAAGGGTCTCACTCTGTTGCCCAGGCAGGAGTGTAGTGGCATGATCACAGTTCACTGCAGCCTCAAGCTTCTGGGCTCAAAAGATCCTCCCTCCTGAGCCTCCTGAGTAGCTGGGACTACAGACACACACCACTATGCTGAGCTAATTTTTTATTTTTTTGTAGAGACAGGGTCTCACTTTGTTGCCCAGGCTTGTAACACATTTTTACAAAGCAAACAAACTTTAAAAATAGGGTACCTATTTACCTTATCTAAGCAGAAGTTAAAACAAAAATCATAATGGAAAAGTGGGAGACTATATACTGGTAAAAAGTAACAGATCAAAAATTACCTAAACACATAGGCATATGGCAATTTAACCTTGAAATTCAGAGAGAAGCAACAGAAAAACACAGGGAGAAAGAGATGACTCATCTTTTCTAGCTAAAGATTTTAATTCGCTATCTTCTTACGTAGATCCAAGCAGATGAAAGACATGCCAAGATGCAGGAATAACAAAGTAACTTTATATAGCACACAGAATATTCTTAAAAACTAGCCCTGAACGACAACATATATGAAGCTTTAATAAACTGTAAAGAACTTTACATCTTAGAGACTGTACTTTCTGATCATAATGCAATAAGGATAGCTTATAAAAAAAAGTTCCCCAAAGGTACAATCCATGAAATAATTGATGGGCTGAAATAACAACTTTAGTTTTCATTAAAATTAGAAACTTCTGCTCTGTTAATCTGAAGAATGAGAAGATAAGCCACAAACTGGGAGAAAATAGTTGCAAAAGACTTATCTGATAAAAACCAGTTATCTTAAAACTCTACAATAAAAAAACAATCGGATTAAAAAATAGGCAAAAGATCCAAAGAAACACTTTCCCAAAAATGTAAAGATGGCAAATAAAGATGCTCCACATCACATACAATTAGCCACAAATTAAAGCCAGATACATTGTACACCTATTAAAATGAAAAATCCAAAACGCTGATATCAAATGCTGGTGAAGGTATGGTACAACAGGAATTCTCATTCATTGCTGTTAGGAAGTCAGAGTGGTACAGCCACTTTGGAAGACGATTTCAAGGTTTCTTAACGAAACTAAACATACTCTTACTACACAATCCAGTAATAGTGCTCCTCATTAATATCTACCCAAATTAGCTGAAAACTTATGTACACAAAGAAAATCTGTACATGTATGTTTATAGCAGCTTTACTCATAATGACCAAATCTGGGGAACAACCAAAATGTTCTTCAGTACATGAATGGATAAAGTGTGGTACACCCAGATAATGGAGTACAATTCAGTGAGAAAAACAAATGAAGTATCAAGCCATAAAAAGACAATGGAGGAACCTTAAATGCATATTCCTAAGTAAAAGAAGCCAATCTGAAAAGGCTAAATACTGTATGATTCCAACTATATGAAATTCTTAGAAAAACAAAACTATGAAGGCAGAAAAAAAATGGTTGCTGGAGTAGAGCAGGAAGAAATGAATAGGCAGAGCACTGATTTTTAGGGTAATTAAACTATTCTGTGTGATACTGCAATGGCTGATACATACATATTCATTATACATTTGTCAAAATATATAGGATGTACAATATTAACAGTGAACCCTGATATAAACTGTACTTTGGATGGTAACAATTTGTCGTTGTATATTCATCAATTGTAACATATGTACCAATCTGGTGTGACATGCTGACAGTGCCCGACAACAGTAAGTTCTTTGTGGGGGGTAATAATCTGGGAACTCTACTATCCACTCAATTTTGCTATAAACCAAAAACTGCTCTAAAAAAACAGTATCTATTTTTTAAACAAAGTTTCATGTCTGGAAACCAAGAAAAACATATCCCTTAATAAAGAAATTTGTGGGTTTATTTTGAGATGGGGTCTCCCTGCTAACGTGCAGTGGTGGCATGATCTCGGCTCACTGCAGCCTCAATCTTCCTGGGCTCACGCAATTCTCCTACCTCAGCCTCCCAAGGAGCTGGGACTACAGGAGTGTGCCACCATGCCTGGGTATTTTTGTAGAGATGGGGTTTCACCATGTTACCCAGGCTGGTCTCAAACTCCTGGGCTCAAGAAATCCTACCACTTCAGCTTCCTAAAGTGCTAAGATTACAGGCATGAGCCACTGCATCTGGCCAGGAAAAGTATTAATATTGGTTTAGAAATACACAAGTAGAAATCAACAGTGGAAAAGGAAACACAGAGATAAATCCCAGAATACGTGAGAATTTAAATATGACAATAAACAGCTTTCAATTAAAGTCAGAAAAACTGGTTTGATAGCTGACACAACTGGCTATCCATCTCATAGACAGATATTCCAGATGAATCAAACACTTAATGATTAAAAAAAAAAGCAACGAGAATCTTCCAAGAAAATACAATGAGGAAACTTTTGTAAAAATTTCAATAAACTCATCAGCTAAAAGAGATAACCTATCTAATTACCACATTAACATACTAAAAGGTTGTGTGGCAAGATCATTAAAAGCAAAATCAACAGACCAATGACTAAGAAAAATATCTGAAATTCATGATTATTAAAGGGTTAACATCAATAACATTTGAAAAACTCTTAAAATGAAATTTACAGGAAAAAATAAAAAATAACCCAACCTAAAAACAGGAAAGGACAGGGACAGGCTAACAGAAGAGAAATCCAAATACCAAATAAAATGTTCAATCTCATTAAGAATCGAAGAAAAACTATCACTTTAAACCCATGTCCACTCACTAAAATTCAAATGAGTGATACTGGCTATTGCTGCTAGAGATTCTTGAAGAAAAAGACATGGTACTACACCATTATTAGATATGTCTTTTTATATTCTTGAAAAACAACATGACTAGTTACACACGCTCCGTCCCGAATATGTTATTCCTGGAATCTTTCTTAGGTGTAAAAAAAAAAATTGTTCATAATTGGGAGGGGATCCTAGATATAAACAGAATTTCCATTAATAAGTGAATGGTTTAATGTGTCTCTATGCCAAAGAATACTTTATAAAGTCATTTAAAAAATTACATCTACATTAAGGAACTTACACAGATTTTCACAAAAAACTTTTAAACAAGAAAAAGTGTATTTAACAAATAACTTAAGCATATATAACGTGAACCAATTATGTAAAATGTGTATGTATTTGTCTATGCTTAAGTAACACACAAAAAGATCTTCAGCTAAGGTATTAATGGTGGTGGTTCCCTCATGGTCCAAAAATTAAGGATGAATTTTACTTCCTTTTTAACTTATGTCTGCTTTGTTTTCCTCCCAATGAGCCTGCATTAGTTAAATATGAAAAAAAAACCCATTAAGTTATCCTTTCTCAAAAATAAAAGCAGGTACTTATAGCAGAATAATACCAAATGGGCTGGGCATAGTGGCTCACGCCTGAAATCCCAGCACTTTGGGAGGTCGAAGTGGCGGATCACTTGAGGACAGGAGTTCAAGACCATCCTGGGCAACATGGTGAAACCCCATCTCTACAAAATACAAAAATTAGCCGGACATGGTGGCACATGCCTGTTGTCCCAGCTACTCAAGAGGCTTAGGCAGGAGAATCGCTTGAACCCAGGAGGCGGAGGTTGCAGTTAGCCAAGATTGAGCCACTGCACTCCAGCCTGGGCAACAGAGTGAGACTCTGTCTCAGAAAAACAAACAAACAAAAAAACCCCAAAAGGATATTTTGCAACCATTCAACTTTTAAGGCAAAAGACACAAGAATGTTTTTAAAGCATTTAAATAAAATTCTTAATTTAAAATTTTCTCTCCAAATGCGAAAAACAACATTTGCAATCAATTCTGTTAACTGTAACAGTAGCATAACAGCTACCTCTCAGGAACATTATGATTAAATGAGATTATAAACAAAACTCTTCCTTTCTTTGATCTTTAAGGAATAGCAAAATAGCAAAATGTTTTTAAATTAAGGTACGTAAATTTTCCTATCCATATATATATACATTAAAAAAAATAAAATTATCGCCTAACATCTCTCGGGCACTGTGGCTCACGCCTGTAATCCCAGCACTTTGGGAAGCTAAGGCAGTCAGATCACTTGAGGCCAGGAGTTCAAGATCAGCCGGGCCAACAAGGCAAAACCCCGCCTCTACTAAAAATACAAAAATTAGTCGGGGATGCTGGCAGGTGCCTGTAGGCCCAGCTACTCAGGAGGCTGAGACATGAAAATCACTTGAACCCGGGAGGTGGAGACTGCAGCGAGTTAAGATCGCACCACTGCACTCCAGTCTTAGTGACAGAGCGAGACTCTGTCTCAAAAAAAAAAAAAAAAAATTTATCTCCTAATGTAATGCTTAATTTGTAATTACTAGGTTAAGTACTGTGCACCTACAAGTTCTGCTTCCCTTCTAAATGTGATGGGAAGAATTTAAATCCTTTTAAAAGTTGATACATATGATTCTCATCTCTCATTAAGCCCCACCGAAACTAGATTTCAAAATAAATAATTTTTTCAATCCTTATCATAGAAAAAAAGGGAAAAGGGAAAACTATGGATTAATGCAAAGATTTAGCAGATAATCCTTAGAGCAGAAAAAAGAATAATTGTAAAGTAGGTTAAAGTATACTAAAATTAAAATATTACAAACATTTAAAGAGTACTTACTGCACCAGATGCTGTACCTAAAAAATAAAAAACAGGCAAAATATTTACACCATGATAAATCATGCTCTCCTTCATAAGTTTTAATATTTATTCATATATTCATAGTACTTATTCCTCCTCATCCTCAAGATTTTGAGACTACCTCATATGAACTATGTGCTATCTTTCCCACAAAATAAACATCTATAGTGCAAAACATTTTCAGAGTTTGAACTTTCAATCTACAAACTCACTTGGAGGCAGTCTGAGAAGTATTCAACATTGCCTTTTATTTCTCCTTTCCTTACTATAATAGGTGACTTTGTTTCTTATTCCTCTTTCTCTACTAAGTATATTACCAAAGCACAATAATGCCTCTACCACTGATTCTACAGCTTTAGATTCCTGGTAACTTTATCTGAATTCCAGATTTGTGCTGTACAACACAACAGTGATCAGACACCAGACATCCCTTTAAATTAAAATTTAAGATTAAATAAAATTTAAAAAATTCATTTCCTCAGTTGCACCAGCCACATTTCAAATACACAATAATTACATGTGTCTAGTGGCTACTGTATTAAGCAGTACAGATTACAGAACATTTTCATCACTGCAGAAAGTTCTATTAGATGTTACTGTCCTCTATACTACTACAGAAAACTCCTTAAGAGATTTTGAAATGCATGTTAGTCACAAAACTCCTAATAATAATCTTAAACTTTAGAAACTAGTAATTTAAACATGTAAATAAAATAAAGACAGAGATTGTATGTAAAACAAAACAAAACTAAGTTTGTATATACTGAGTACACTCAAAAGAAGCTACTATAGAAAATCACTGTAGAGCCAAAGCATTTTAAAAGTAACTAAAAACAAAAATTATGTAATTTTCCAGGATTACTGAGGGTAACAGTACCCAGCTCTAGATATCTAAATAAAAGAAAATAATTGTATTAGGTATTTCAGAACATTTTAGTTTAAATAATGAAATCTGTGAAACATCTTTAAAAAATCAATTAAGTCCCATTTGAACCCAGAGAAAAGCACACAGTACATTTTCAACACCTTTCAACCAATACTGTTTATAACAGAACACAATCTTGTCATAATCGTGGGATGAAGTTCGGCATCTGGAATATTAATTTATGTGGACAGCTATATATTCATGATACTGGAGGCATTATTAATATATATTAAAATCTTATGAGTCAAAATGGCCAGTTATTGGGAACTAATATTTACTCCAATGGCTATCAATACAAGGGCCAAGGAGACGACAGAAAAGTAACTCTAAAGTAGTCTAGAATGCCAAGGAGAGCTCATACTAAACACCTAGAGAATGGAGTCACTACGTCATTCTAATGCTTGCTGAGTACAAATATGAACTCAACCAGAGTTCATTTAACATATACTCTCTGACACCTACTGTGTTGACAGGACTACTGTTAAGTATTGAATAGTCAGATCATCCAACTTTTCAAAATAAATTCAAACTCAAAATCTGCAGACTACAAATGTTAGCAATAATTACAAAATTGAAGAACATTGTGTGGGCCAAAGTAAATCTGCAGACCTAATTGGGTCCAGAACTCCTGACCTAAAACTGTAAAAATTTCCTAAGAATTCAATTATCGCCGGGCGCGGTGGCTCACGCCTGTAATCCCAGCACTTTGGGAGACCGAAGTGGGCGGATCACAAGGTCAGGAGTTCGAGACCAGTCTTGCCAATATAATGAAACCCGGTCTCCACCAAAATACAAAAATTAGCCAGACATGCACCTGTAGTCCCAATTACTTGGGAGGCTAAGGCAGGAGAATCGCTTGAACCCGGGAGGCGGAGGCTGCAGTGAGCCGAGATTGCCACTTACTCCAGCCTGGGTGACAGAGCGAGACTCCACCTCAAAACAACAACAACCACCAAAAGACTTCAATTGTCAACGCTATCCCAGTTTCCTATTGCGGAAAAAAGAAAAAGGAGGTTATATAAAGTCCAAGAGATCCTGCTTTTTTTACTCCTCATTATAATAGGGCTGCTACTGTCCAAATGAGGTCTAACACATACCACCATACATAGTATACATACCTGCTGCTACATCCATACTATTTACTCCTGGCTGTAAGAAGAAAAATGAAATTAGTGTTATTCATCTCTTTTAAACTGTATTTTATATAAGTTCCTCATAAAGCATAGTGAAATCAGTACCTGCTATGGATAATCCTCAAGCCTGTGACTCAAAGATTCTTAGCAAAACTTTTAGTGGTCTCAGTTCCTCGAGCTTGCTATAAATTGTAAAGGAGATCAGCAAACTGAGGCTACAGGAGTAGTTTAAATGTTATATGGTCACCAAGTGTACACAAGGTCCTCAACGCTTTACCCACAATTCTGGAAACCAAAACCCTCTGAAAACCAACTTTTTTCAAGTATGGTACCAAAACTCACTACAGTGGCAAAACCTGCCCTAAATGAACATGAAACTCCACAAACTTCATTTATCCCACTTCAGTTTAGTTTAGCTGCAAAAATACTAACATTATTGAAGTTAGACAGCACTGCCCTGGACCTCGCAGGAAATGTTTACATATTATATGCAATGTGTTACTTTCCAGTATTATAAAGAATTTTTGAAATATATCTCGTCTTAGGATTTTGGGAAAGACATTGCAAACTTACCACCTCAAGGGAGTATGCCACATCTGTTCATTACAACCACATAAAGAATAAAGAAGTTAAATTTGAATTTTGTAATAATTTATATTACTATACTACCTGATAGAGATGGTAAGGCTGTTTAATAGATTTTCTAATTAATTTGCCACAGCTGAAGTCTCAGAATGTGGATTTCCAATTAAATCTTGATTTCTAAATCTAGTATTAAATCATATTATACCAACTTTTAATTAGCACTCAGTGAAGTAAATGTTTACCCTTTAAAACTTACATGTTATCAGACGAATAAAATGTTTCTGGCTCACATTGTATACTTTTCAATATTCTGGTCTTAATACAAAATTAACTTAATAATTAAGAATGTACATATAATATCAATATAGGAAAAAATCTAAATGCCTATCATTGAAGTTACAGAAACTAAATCCAGGACAAGCACAGTGGCTAATGCCTGTCATCCCTGTGGGAGGCCGAGGCAGGAGGATAATTTGAGCTCAGGAGTTTGAGACCAGCTTGGGCAACACAGGGAGACCTCATCTCTATAAAAAAAATTTAAAATTAGCTCGGCGTGGTGGCACGTGCCTGTGGTCTCAGCTACTCAGAAGGCTGAGGTTGGAGGATTGCTTGAGCCCGGATGGTTGAGGATGTAGTGAGCTGTTATCATGTCACTCACTGCACTCCAGACTGGTTGACAGAGCAAGACTCTGTCTCAAAAATACAAAGAAAAGAAAAGAAACTGAAAGTCCACAGTAATTCTCATATTTTATTACAGTACTACACAGGCACTTCAACGGCTAACATGATTGCCTATCAAGTATATAGGTATTATTACTCCATATATAAAAGCAATCAATCAAAACATTACTTCACAGAAAATAGTTATTTTCACATGATTACCGGTAAGGCAGGCTGCATGGAAGCCTGAGACATATGAGACATCATCATTCCAGGCATTACTGACGACATCATTCCAGGCATCTAAAATAAAAGTAAAAAAGGTTACTATAAGACCAAAGCACTTAATATGACTTTAAGAATCCCATAACTTAAGATTAAAAACCACTAAACACTATACCATGTGAATAGTATGCTTAGTAAGTGCTTGTTGAATGAATGAAGTACTTTACCAATAATCTATTTTAATACTTATGTCACAGTTTTTATATATACGGTCAAAATTATTTTAACAAGTAAATTTAATAAGTTTGGACTATTACGTTATTTCTAGCCTGAATTTAAAAAAACATTAATTTCCTTTTAGTTGTAACACAACAGTCATATTTTTCTCACTTCTTTGGAGCAAGAGAATTTAGCATAAAATTTTTTCAGTATTTTTCACCTTTGATTTTTAATACATGTACTGAATAAATTTTATAATGTGGCGTATTTCAAAATCCTAGATCAAAGGTGCTAATATCCAAACAATGACCTAAAAAAATACATTTAAAAAAACCCGTTTTAAATCACAAGTCATCTATCCCCTCTCATGTACAGAAAACTTAAGGCACATACATAAATATCTAAAGATATTAGTTTGGGAGCTCAATCTAGTTTATCAACAACTACCATTCAAATCTATGAATTAATTCTATTAAGTCTGAATATAAATTCTGAAGATTAACACAAGTTTCTCAAGAATTTGACCCAATGCTCCTCTATATTAGTATAATCCCACATTACAATTTTGATTTTAATGACCATTAAAAAGATCTAAGGAAATTCAGAAGGGGACAAAAATTACATACAATAATCACAGGTACTGGAACAAGGTAACCAGTTATTAAACAATTTCAAAGTAAATGAACATTTTGAGAAATAGGAACAACAGAAAATAAGCATATGGTCAGCAGGAACATACAGATTCAAGCCTTCTAAAGTTATGTAAGAACATTCACACACTGAATTGTATTCCTTGTGAAAGTGACCCATGAAACTAAACGAGGCTAAGGTACCTATTAAAATAAAGTAGCATGGAGTTAACGGGTTAAAAACAACCAATAAACTGTCTAAACATCATTAAACAAAACTTTTTGACAAAAATTGTGACTATTAAGAATGTGGTGGCTGACTTGGAATATGATCCAAATAGTACGTATTTTTTTTAAGGTATAGAATTTGAAAACCGAAGCACTGGCAAGCCTCCATCATCCAGACTGAGAATCAGAGAAATAATTTACAAGGTAAGGAGAAAAAATACAACAATCAAATTAGAAAGAACTATAACTAGGCTTACTCCCAGCCCATACATCTCCAGCCAATAGATATATCCTCGTAATTTTGCTTTAGGCCAATGTAAAATACGCTGAATCAGGTAACTGGTTGCATTGGAAAGCAACCAAGATACATGACAGGCAACATAGAAACAGCCTGCTACTTTAAGTAACCTATATATAAAATCAAAAGCTAGTAACATAACCAACACTAGAATTCTAAGCTAAATTGACAGATCAAGGCCTGAAAACTTAAGAGAAAAACCAATCAAAGTAACTTCTCCTAAGAATTAAAGGTATTTTTTTTAAAGTAGAGTAAAATCTGCATAAAGCAACAGAACATTCTCTCGCTGGGCACGGTGGCTCACTCCTGTAATCCCAGCACTTTGGGAGGCCAATGCAGGCGGAACACGATGTCAGGAGACCAAGATCTTCCTGGCTACTGTGAAACCCCATCTCTACTAAAAATACAAAAAATTAGCCAGGCATGGTGGCACATGCCTGTAGTCCCAGCTACTTGGGAGGCTGAGGCTGAGAGGTGGAGGCTGCAGTGAGCTGAGATGGCGCCACTGCACTCCAGCCTGGGCAACAGAGAGAGACTCCGTAAAAAAAAAAGAACATTCTCTCATGGCAGTAGCAGACTGTACAAATAAATGTAATTTCAAATTGAAATATCCTGACTTTATCACACATATAAAGATAAAATCTTACTTAAAAACAAAGCCACATAAAAACCAATATATAAGAGTTTAGTAGACCAGGCCAATGAGACTTACAGCAGGCAGTATTTGAAAATCACTAAAGAACATACAGAGTTTGACAGAGTTCTCTCTTTAATTGACCTTCTTCCCATACCTAAAATGTTTAAACACCTCAGAAATGTTCTTTTAGAACGGAAATCATGGTATTTATTATAGAATGAGATTTAATGTCAAAAAGCTACATTCTCCCTTCGTATCTCCGTAAATTCTGGGGATGAAGACTAGTTAATCTTGTTTTACCTGACAAACTGCAAGTCCTAAATTACATACAACTGAATATCCTGAAAGTAAATCAATCATTAATGTAATTTAAACCAAAACTGTGATGTCAACATAAAACCAAAGAACAAAACAATAAACATGCAAAATACTATATTCTGTAGGAAAAACTACTGTAAGAATTTAAGAAATTTAGAGTTCCTTTAGAGGACTGAGAATCCCAAAGTCTGTTTTTCAAAGTCTAAAAAATCTACTTTGTGGCGATGTTATGATTCTCATTCTCTATTAATTCTAGGATATACATAACATAGAGATACTTTTTATAATCTCTTTCTTTGAAGCTAAATCTTTTAAAGAAATTGTGTTGATTTACGCCAGTCACTTTGGCAGCACCATCAATCTGAGACCATTAAAAGTTTCTAAGCTATCTATTAACACTTACTGTTAATGGGAATACAAGATGCAAACTTATGAGAATTGGCTATGGCTCAGATCCTCAAAAGTGATTTTTTCCTCCCTCATCCCAATAATAAAAGAGTTAAAACATTCAAATGTCTTTGCTCTCTCCTCTGTCACAGTAGGTATACTTCTTCTTTCCATGAAGAGGTGTCTCAACGTTATCTGTTGAGTGTTTCAGATTTTCCATTTAGATTTTTTTTTTCTTTTCACTCTTAAGGGCACATAAAACACAGTCATGTGTCATTTAATGACCGTATGTTCTGAGAATTGTGTCATCAGGAGATATCATCATTGTGTATCATAGAATGCACTTACACAAACCTGGATGGTTATAGTCTACTACACATCTAAGCTATTATGGTATACACAGCCTATTGCTCCTAGGCTAGAAACCCTTATAACATGTTACTGTACTGAATACTGTAGGCAACTGTAACACAATGCTAAGTATTTGTATATCTAAACATAGAGGTAGTATATGATTTAACAGGACCACCATTGTGTATGTAGTCTGCCATTTACCAATATGTCACTATGTGGCCCACAAATCTAATACTGTGTCTCAACATTTAAGTTCAATGAAAATGGGATGTTGCGTCAAAATAATAAAGGGGAAAAATTCTTAACTTAGTTGCTACAATAACACCACAACGAATTCCATGAGCCACACCATTCTTAAGGCTACAAAGTGGTAGTTCATATTTACTTAATGTGAAGCATACTATAAAATGAAAACCATGTACTGCTTTGCAAATTCCCATTTAAACTACTTTGGTAAATATGTAAAAGTGCTATAATTCAAAATTTTTAGTTGTATGAGACATAAATTTCCTAAAATGTTAAACATCTGAATATTATGAAAAATTTGGCAACTTTAAAAAATGTAGCTGATATATTTTATACAATTCATGAGTGGCCAACCATATGTATATTTACACTATGTAAATCATTTCTATTTCCTATTCTTTTAATAAGTATAAAACTAATTATCAAGATGTTCTCAGAAGAATCATCAGTTTGAGGAAAATAAAAAATAAATGAACAAAACACTAGGGAGCGCTACACATCCTGTTCAGTCATTCTTAGCATCCCAGAAAGTTTCTAATGTTAGATATAAACAAACATATTTCATTTATCACTCTACATATTTTAAAAAATGAAAATAAAAAGTGGTAGTAATAAAAGCAGTATCAATGCTACGGTGAGTGAATTTTACAAAGTGTAAATTCAATTGGTCCAACTTTACCATGATATGAAAAGAAAGCACTTTAAAAGTGAAGAACTTCACATGGGGACTTCACAAGTTCTTTCCTTCATAGTTATTTCTAAAGTTTTTCCTGCTGGAAAGAAATGACAAACAATTGGACCTATCTTTTGTCTAGTATTACAAAAAAAAAAAAAAAAAATTCACCTGAAAAAAATACTAACTCCTAAATCTGGTGGTTTTTTAAAAACCATTCTTGCTGCAAACCTGTAGCAGCAAATTCATAACCTAAGTAAGTTTCATGTCTGCCTTTTTACTTGGGGTTCTTCTTAAGTGTGCTAAAGTAAAATTCCATAAGGTAAGTACAACCTATAAAGGCTGTTTTAATATTTTAGAACAACTATCTCATATACCACTAAATTATTTTATGAATATACAAATAAACGCCAAAAATCTTGAATAAATGCAAACTGAATCTTTAAATAGAACTAAACGTTCATTCAATTGGAGATAAATGGAAATATCTATGTTTAAAGCATACCCTTAGCAACCAAAAGTAAACTAGTGGCTTTTTTTGTGGAAATCATTTAACCTACTTCCTCTTCATCTAAAGCAAGCCTGTTCAATCTGTGGGCCATGGGCCACATGTGGCCCAGGACAGCTTTGAATGTGTCAACACAAATTTGTAAGCTTTCTTAAAACATTCAGATTTTTTTGGCTTTTTTTTTTTAAGCTCATCAGCTACTGTTAATGTTATTTTTTTTTATGAGTGGCCCAGGGGAGCCAAAAGACTGGATACCCCTGATGCAGAGCAACATAAATTCAAAACATCATTTTTTGATAAGAAATATTTAGATAAATAAAGGCAATATTTGTACAAATTGTTATCATGCAGAATAGAACTTTACCATGTAACAAGACAAGTGCCAGTATTCAAAATTTGCGAAACTCTCTCAACCTACAGAATTTAGAACTGCTGAAGTATAGCAACCCCTTCAGGGTCTAAGGAAATTAACCCAATTATATAGTCTTATACTGATATATACAGATAATGCGGTCTGAAGTCAGACTGACAGAATTCCTATCCCATTTAACTTGGGCTAATTTATTTGACCTCTCTGGACC